TGAAAGGATGTTCTATTTACAAAGGTCAGTTTGTTCTGTATGATATCCATAACCACTACCAGAAAAAAATATACATAAAATAAACACCTCATCTTTCAAATAAACATTTACAAATACTCTGCTTAAAACTACTAGAAAAATTAAGACATTGAAATGAAGAGTGCATTCTGCATGCAGTTAAGACAGAAATTACATTGCTGGACTTCAGTGTGTAATTTCTTATCACTGTGAACAACACACACTCGGGCTTTTCTAAAACACCACAGCTTGGTTATTACCTTAGGATCTCAAAAGGAGGACATGGATCTCCTTTAACAAGTTATTAGCTACTCTGTGTTTTGCCATTAAGAAAGGACATCCCAATTTTCTTCTCAGTAGGAGGGTCTGGTCTTGTCCAACTTGGTGTCCTTTTCCCTGAGTTTCTCCTTAGTGTTCTGCTAGGATGATGGCTGGCTTGATACATCTACCAGTCCTTGGTGAGGACTCTTCCCATTACAAGGCAGAGTTCAGAAATTCCAGGAGCTGGGCACGGTTCCGGTCTCTCTGTAGAGCAGACAAGCAGAGGCAGTGGTTGGACATACCTGTACTCAGGAGCAAGGCCACAGATCCCTGTTTTCTGTGGGGCTTCCACATCCCAAAGCAAGCAGCATTGACACAGCTGGATCTAACCAGCTACCAGTGAGGCCTGGGTGCCCAGGGGACGTGCCAGGCAATGGCTACACTTGAGACAAGCTACCACTATTCCATGAGACATTTCCTAAGTGGCTCCCTAAGGAGGCTCCACTGGGTTGTCATCGTGCAGCTCACAGCTTGCCCAGGAAGGAACTCACAAGCACAACAGATGCTCCTCTCTGGTGGCTGAGGCAACTTTCACTGTACTCACAGCAAGTCCTGAGCTTTGGGAAGTATCTTTTTTTCCCTACGCATATACAGCAGCTTATGCAGCATAATAGAACCCTGAATTTGGGTTCTCTCTTCCCATAAGAGATGACCCAACCAGTCAATTTCAGTGTTTTCTATAAAAAAATATTGAATTTTTAAATATTGTAAATAATGGATGTTGTTCAATTCAGCAAGACCACAGGCACCAACTGAAAAAAAGGACCAACATCAAATATTTGACATTAAATATTGTAAAAAGCAGGCTATTGGAACAAAACTAGCAGCGTTCAGCATAATTTAACATGCACTTTGGTGTCACAGAGAGAAGACAATGTGTTTTCAATCAAATTTAACTTAGAATGCTCAGGACTGCTTTGGTAGCTGTAGAATGAATGACTAGGGCTGAATCTGAATCTGCCAAGCTGGATACCTCAAGGAAGTAACACTTCCTGACCAGTACCAGAGCCCTCTGCAGGTCACCCTAAGGTGTTGAAAAGTGGAGGTATTACTTAAGTGCTGAGTCCAAACATCCATAGCAATAGCACAGCACTGTGCACTGGGTATCTCAGCAAAAATATTTGACTGCTCTGAGAAAATGCAGGAGCATGTGGTCCTAATAATACAACTGGGTTTTTAAAAATCCCTCTCTAAATAAAGGCTAGTCTTGCATGTGTAGGAAAAACACAGTGAAGGAGCAATTACCACAAGCGATCACAAGAGACTGAAGGAAGATGAGTACAATTAGCACCACTGTAAGAGAAAGCTACAAATTGGCTAATGATTACAGGCTGAAATTCTAAGGACCTGCACAAGCATCCTTTGGTTTATCTGCTCATGACTGAGTATTCCAAGCCCCTTCATAACATAAAACCTGCCAAAAGAATAATTACAATTTCTCAGAGGGCATAACAGCCACACTAAAAGCTACACTCAGTTTACAACTATGAACTGCGAGACCCATTCTTCTACAAAAACTGCTACTAGAAAAAATAGTAAAAGATCCAGTATTTTTTCTTAGGAACATTTAGACTAATTAATTCGTACCTCTATATCTTCCTTAGTCTTTTTTATTTTCATCTTAATTTTCTTTCCAGTTATCATGCTGTAGTTTTCATTCTTCTTTTTGTTCTTGAAGAACTGAAATGAGATCACATGTTAAAAGACATAAGCTTTGTTCTGTAGAAATCTTCTGTAAAATAACACACAATAATCTTTTATACTTCCTTATTGTCTACAACAACACAGAGAGGTTTTCACTGGTTGATGACCAAACTGGTGATCTTATAAACAGTTTTATGACAGGATGGATTAAGTATGTAGGTGAGAAATAAAACAGGGCTTCACACTTGGACCAGCATACCTTGGAAAGCTGGACAGGTCCAGTTTTCTCTTTCCTTTTCTTCTTTTCCTTCTTTTTCTTCATTTTGTTCTCCTTTTTCCTTTTCTACAAGAATAAGACATACACACTTATGCTTACAGACTAACAAGGGAAAAAAACCCCAAACCCACAAGGATCTCTCAAGACCACTCAAGTGAAGACAGCCACAACTTCTGGCCCTTACCACTGCTAGACAAGTAGTAGAAAGTAACAGCAGAGTTAGCAACCCTTGGGACTCTGAGGAACAGAAAAGGTCTGATTCCTCATCTCTCTCTTTTAAAGTAACCTCAATATAAATCACTGAACACGGAATAGAAAATTACAACAGCAAGAATTTACCATTCACTTCTCTCACCAACTAGAAATAATTTCTTCTGGCAAATTCTCTAAAGCTAAAAAGATTCCCCATTTTTCTTCAGAGACTACTCTAAACTCCAGCTGGGCCAGCAATGATTGGCAAAAGTAACTTTTATATGTTTTCTCTTTTTGTATAAAGTCAGGTACCCATTTATCAGTTCAGCTACCACAACCCTAAAAGCATGATTTAGATTTACAAAGCCACAGAAAAAAGCATTGTCTTACATGACATTTAAGGTTATAATATAAAGAACTGTTTTGTTTGTTAACTACTTATATATCTTTGTAAACTTTTACCTTTTTGTTGTGTTTTTCCTTTTTCTTTTTCTTTGACTTAGACTTAGGAGAATCTAAAATTAAGGAAAGAAATAACAAAATCAAATCCTGTAAGTTTAGCATTCTAAAAAAAGGCATTTGTTTTACAGATAAGACAGAGAAATGTGAAACATATGGAGAAAGTTCTATAGGATATATTTGTTTATTTATTTATTTATATACATATATATACACTGACAGAGGTTGAATGAACCCTGAGAAAGAGAACACATTAAATTACTGCCACTTACTGGACTAACATGGAAACTGAAAATACCTGATTTACTGATTCTGCAGATGTGCTGGCTTCACCCAAGTTCTCAGAGTTAAACACTTGAAATATTAAGACCAAAGTAGGACTAAATCAAACCTACAACTCTGGTCTAGACAGACTGGTGAAGTAAAACAAAATTCGTGTTTTGAAAATGCAACAAACTGAGGGGCTTAAATATATGCAGCATATTGCTACCAAGTAATATTTATTTGAATGGCAGTTTCTCTTTAGAAGGAATTCAAATTAACACAAGAACATTGCAAACTGTGAAGTGGCACCTTTACACACAATTGGAAAGGGTTATGAGAGAGACACTGAACAAGCAGCACTGGTATTCCACACTGTCATTTTGTGGTGGTTTCACCACTTTTAAAACAAACTTCCAGTTTTGATTGTTCTCAGGAGTGTAATCAAAACTGGAAACCATCATGTACATGTGGAGGTAGCTTACCTCTACTACCACTGGAAGAAGATGACCTTGATGATGAGCGTGATGAGGAGGAAGAAGTGGATGTACTGCTAGAAGATGATGTGGATGAAACAGAGGAGGATCTGCTTCTGCTGCGCTTTCGTTTCCTTTTTTCTTTTCCTTAGGGCAACACAAGGCAACAGTGACAAGCCTGCTAGCAACTGTGGCCTACAGAAATGACTCTCAGTAGAACTTAAACAAAATAAACCTCTGTTTTGAGGGGTTGGTTGTGTTTTTCCCTGCTCTTCCAGTGTGCCATGGTCTAATGCCATCACCAAGCAAGCAAACCCAGTAAGTGACACACAAACAAACACCACAGAACAGCAACAGATCCCAGCACCTACCTCGGGCCTTCAGCCCTTCTTCTGAGGTTGCACACAGCGTCCTACTTTTTTCATCCTTCCTGTTATCCATATCTAATCAGAGGCAAAAGGAGATTCAACAATATCATTTCCCAAAGACTCCCTCCCAAAGAGGGGGGGAGTTGAGAAAGAGGGGAAACGAGCATGCCTGAGGGTGGGAGAGGTGGGAAGGGAGCACAGAGAGGGTGACCCGGTGCAAGCTCCCCGCTCCAGCAGGGCCATCCCGGGACACACGGCACAGGCCCGCACCCCTCCCATGGCACTGCGAAGGGAAAGCACCTTCAGCTCAGCGCCACGAACCGGAGCCAGAGCCGCGCCCGGCTGCCGCTGCCGCAGCCGCCAGGGGGGTTTTACCCACACCCCCGTGTCGGGCCGTGGCTGGGTCACGGATCGCGGCCGCAGGGCCGGCCCACAACCATTCCCCGGCCGCCCCAGGGCCCCCGACCCACCCGCAGTGCCGCCCCGGCTCCGCCGCCCGCGCCCCGGAAGGGCCGGGGCCGCCTCACGCCGCTTCCTGCCGGCCTGGCGGGTTCCCTCCCTCCTTCCCTCCCTCACGGCAGCGCCGCCGCAGCGCCGGAACGCGGCCCCGCTCCGCCCGCCGGGCTCGGCCCCGCCGCGTCCGCCTCTCCGGCACTGCACCGCGGTGCCCTGGGCGTGGGGTGCTGCAGCAGCTCCTGTCCCTGCTCGGAACAGAAACAAACCCGCCCCGCCACCAGTTACCACCGCAGTGCATCCTCACACCTCGGATATTCATCCATCTAGGATTACTGATTAGGATTTACTGAATTTACTCTGCGATAGCCAAGTGCAAACCCAAATACCCATGAAGCACATTGATTCCTAATCAATGTGTTGGTGTTGGTTTGTTGTTTGTTTTTTTTTTAAATTAATGTAAACAAATACCCAGTACTCCACATCCTTAAAAGTCTGCTTCAGTCCAGCCAAAAGGAATATAAGCCACAGTTCCTCCAGAAGGATGATAAAATTATTTATTCTTACATTAGATTATGTACACAGTAAAGACATTCAGCTAGAAAAATGCCTCTATTGTAGTAAGAGATATTCAAACAACTACAAACTATCAATAAATACCTTAGAAATGTACAGTATGCTGATGTAGAAATACCCTACACTGTTTTGGTTACTTACCCAGTACAATATTATTGAAAAGTTTTTTGGTATTCTTCATGCAACATCAAAATTCTTCCTGATAGTTCATGCTATACAACATTTTTTTTCTTTATTAAGAATGGGATGAAATTTAAAACCCTGTTTACAAGCAGTAAAAAAATCACTGAAAACTTTAACATAAATCTCTTAATTCCTGTACTAAAACAAATTTAAAGAAGGCTGTCTTTAAAAAAAATAATCATCTCAACTAATTCTTTATAAAACAGGCAGTATTTCAAAAGGGATGTTTCCATCACCCAGGATGAATTTGTGCTTCAGAATTTTAAAAGGAATATTTATGGCAAAAACCTAAACCCAACCAGTAGGCAGAGGAGAGATTGCAGTAGGAACTATCTAAAACCAAACATGCTTCCAAAATCTGTCTAGGAAAACACTAAACACTTATCCACATCACTATGCCATCACCTACTCTAACAACTAGAAATGGAGTTTTAATAATACTTAGCTCTTTTCATGCTCAGACTTCTACACAAACATTTAAATAGCCCTAACGCTTCTGCAAGTATTATTACCCCCATTTTACATTTGGGGTGGCGGAGGCAGAGAGGGCTGGGAATTTCCCAGGATCCAGGCCACACACATCCTTTTCATCTTGCCTCCCTTGCCTGTCCGAGTTCTTTATCACTTTCTGTATTTAACACTCAGTGTACTGGAGAGCCCCAGGACACAGGGATGGTACATTCCCATCAGTTGTTAGTGGTTATTATGCAAGTTGTGTGTCACTTTGAAAGTTACATGACAAATATTAAAGTAATAAGCGACATGAAATCCAGGCTCAGGGTTGATGTCACAGAATGGCACACCACTATCAAAACAGGCCTGCTCTTTCTGTAACCAAGTGTTATGCCTAATTCATTCTGGTTTACAGCTGAAATGACTCTTGAGGTCAGTGGTGGTGGTACACAAGAATAAAATTTGTTCCTCACAATCTGTCCCAGGAACACGGAAAGCCCCTATGGTGGCTCAGTACATCCTGACATTATAAAACAAAAAGGACTTGTAGATCAAAACAAAGATTCTGCATGTGCTAACCCACCATGAGGTACAGATTACTAAGGTCTCTTCCCCTCCACCCCTGAGTTAGAAAATACATGTGTCTGAACTACGTCCTGAAAACCATTTGGGAAAGTGAATGTCTAGCAATAAGACTGCAGATACAAAATAAAGTATTTTGCCTTCATCTTGGTATCAGTCCTTGAATTATTTAAATTCTTATCAACATCCCTCGTGGGAAGAGCATTCTTCATTTTACCACATTTGCCCTCCTGAATTTTCTATCTTATGCTTTTCAGTCTGTGCCCCATATTAATTTTTATCCTGCCTAGTTTACTCTTACTCTAAAACCAGCTTAGTTTCTTGCTGTCTCTTGATAAGCTTTGGAGCAATGGATAATGCTGTGGTGTTTCCCTACCTGTAAGAGATGAGAGATGCAAAATGCTGCCACTGGTAATAACAAAATCACTGAGTATGCAAAATTACATCCCTCTTACAGGCACCCAAAGGGCTTTAAAAAGGCACATATGTTCTGTGTCACTTGTTCATCAGTGCCTGACCTTGGTGGTTTTAGTGTGTCTTCAATAAACCCTGTACAATGCACACATTCCTTTGCAATATGGAAGGAACTTGGAATAAAAATTAAGATCTCCACACATCACAGTCAGCAGCTGTGTCATCCCTTAACAAACACTAAAGCCACAATGATTGTCAAAATTGGGTTCTTACAGCAACCTCACTCCCTAATCTATTTTCCCCCTTCTTCCCCAAACTTCTAGGAGAGAGGAAAATTGCATGTTACATAAGTGAGCTATTCCCCAAGCTCTTCCTGCCTTTTGTAGAGCTGGTAAGGCCAGAAAACATCTCTTTTGCACAGATGTGGAAGCAAAAGAACAGGAGATTTGCCCCTCTTCCAGCAGTGCAGCCAGGAGCTGGCAGGCTGGCCAAGTGCCCTGCATCTGGTCATGTCCTGAGAGGTGAGAAGCACCTGCAGCTTTTGGCTTCAGACAGGGACTGTGAATGTTTACCACCAATGGAAACCAGTCCCAAGGCACTAAGCAGGAGTGGAAAGGACACAAGAAAGCTGTTGTGACCTGTACTCTGTACAGCTGAAACAACAGGCTAAAAAGGTAGGAGGCATTGGCCCCTTCCTCTGGGCTTTCTGGAAAAATACAATTAAAATAAATTGTTTTAAATGTTTTCCCTGCCTAACTGAAGCCATTCTCCCTGCTTCAAAAATCCAGGAGATGGAGGGATCAAGACATATTGATTCAAATTTGCTAATGTTGAAATGTTTCCATTGCAGACAGATGAAATGCACTTGCATGTCTGGGCATGGCTTCACTTCTGTCTGAGGGAGAGAAGCCCACAGGCCTGCCTGGACTCCTGGGAATTTACTGGAGGAGGTTCTTCTCCAAATGCCAGTCTGGTGATGGGAGCCAATCATTCCCCCCACCGTGGACGGAACCAATCTGGATTGAATGCATGTTTGCACCAACCTGGACTTCTAGCTGCCTTAAAAATGCAGTCTTGGAAAAAAGGATAGAAAAGGAAAGGCTGATGCTTTGGCAATTCATTATCTGTCCTGTAGTCCAAAGTCATGAAACAGTCTCAGTAGCTTGACTGGTGGCAATTTGCTATTGCGTGGCTGGTGTTCACCACAAAAACAGTTCCTCATGCTTACAGCAGTCACATTGACTGGGCATGTTTTTCACAATTCCTCCAGATCAGTTAGATCCACGACCACTTTCAAAAAGAGAGTGTCATCTCTGATGTAGGTGTTCTTTGTGCTCTCCAGGACGGTGTGCGGCACGAAGCGCGGACAGCCGGAGGCGATATTCATTTCTCCATCCGGCCTTTTGAAACTGCTGCTGTTGGGGTCAGCTCTAAAGACGTCCACGATGTGATTTTTTTTCCCACTTTGGTCCAAAAGCATAAGTGTAACCTTCTGCTTGAAAGGCCACAGCAGCAGCGAGTCAAACTCACCCCTCATGACCACGAAGTAGAGGGAGATGTGTGTTCCCTTTCCTGAGCCATCCCCGTTCAGGTAGGCTCTGGCACACAACCTGTAGCCACAGCGGCTGGTGTAGAAGGGCTGGCTGGCTATGGACAGCACACGGCCTTCCACTGCCTCTCTTTTCTTCTTCTGGTAGTCTGTGATTTTCCAGATTAATTTCCCATTGTAGCACGTGCCTTCCAAAAGCTTAAATCGTTCTTCGTTTTTATTGAGCTGTGCTTTGTGAATATTGATCTGGAGATCATGTTTGCTGGACTGATCTTCCAAAACAACTGAGAGAAGAGGGAAAAAAAAAGAATTATCAAAAAAAGAGAGAGGCACTTGGTAAAACAAAATTGTCAGAGCCCTGGATAAAATGAGCACTCAGAGTCAAGCTGGCAAAACCGATCTACCCAAGCCTGAGTACAGGCTATGAACTACTGCTGTTAACTTTTTTAAACTGTAATTGCAGCTAGTAGTTGAATAAGAAAAGTATCAACTATAAATCGTGAATGCCTGAATAGGACCATAGCCTCCATCACAGTGCAGGAGCCAAACCAAGGCCAGTGCTGTGGCTCTGTGGCCCTGCAGTGCCACTGGAGTTCTGTGTAGTAGGGATAGGTGGGAGGACACCACACACACCATCACAGTTTGGTGTCAGAATGCAAAAAAGAAAGCCCTTTCTAGTAGCACCAGAGCCTCTACTTAGCCCCCAGTAAATCAGCAACCCCCCCTACCTGTGCAGGGAAGTGCCAACCTACCTAAACGCTGGTCGTACGTCTCCATCAGGGCAATCTTCTGTTTCACGTTTTCAATTGTGTCTAACAGGGGCTGCAGGTCTAATTTACTTTGCTGCTGGTTTGCCATCTGTATTAGCTGTTTCACTTGTGATTCCAGGCGTGCAGACTTATCCAGGTGACTGGCCAGAGCCTTCCCAGTTCATGCCATTGGAAGAGGGTGGGAAGTAGAGGCAAGAGATATCCATAAAACCAGATATTTGCTTTGAATTAAGATACTGAAGTCTTTAGCATGTCAGCAGTATCAACAATATGATGCATTCAAAATGCTCTGCTGGCTTAGGAATTTATCCCAGCGCTCCTTCATGATTAATTCAGCACATTTACAGACTGAGAAGCCATCTCTCATTCAGAACCCATTCACACTGCACCACTTCATTCAACTCATTATTCAAATTTACACCTGCACATTTGCCCTGGGCATCTGACCATGAGAATTTGTACAGTGCTTTTTGTCCAGATCATGTATCCAAACTTCTGTATCAATTAAAAGACAATACCATATTGTAAAAAAATTAGAAGGTCTTGGGGAGATTTATTATTGCTGTGCTATTAATGGCAACTATTACTGGAGAAACATATTTCAGGATGCAAAAAAGCAATTGGTAACAAAAGTAAAATCAATGTCTCACCTGAGTGCTTACCATCAAGTTGCTATTGTTACCAAATAGTTGTGTATACTGTCTGAATTCTTTCTCACACTTCTTAATGGCATCTGCTAGCTGCTGGATTTTGATCTCTTTATATTCCAGGTTCTTATACAGGTCAGATATCTACAGATGGAAAAAATCAGAGTATAAATGCTAAGGAACACCAAAATATACAATGAAGAAATTATAACGTATCTGACTATATAAGAGACACTTGAAAAGTTAACAATGCAAATCCTTCAAGTGAGCTAGATAGAGCACTCCTTAATTCACTATTTGTGAATGAGCACTGAAAAGAACTGAATAGATCTGTGTGGCTCCAGGTGCAAAGAGGCTCCTATCTCTCATTCCCATCATGATGATCCATTCAGCTCTATAGTGGGATAATATATACTTACATGCACAGGTGCGTGTCTGTTTCTGTGTGTATGTATATGCATTTTTTTTCCTCTAGTGAGGTCTAACCAGCAGAGATGAGTCAGTGAGGGATACACACTTCAAAACTTCAAAAGTTTTAGCAGCTTGGGACTCTTATTTCTTGCATAAACAAGCAAAGAATAAGTCTCCCATCAGCTTGGATCTACTCAGTTAACAGGACTGGGCCTACACCCAGTGTCTCCTGCTGGGAGCCAAAGAAGTGATCTTGAGCAGAGAGGTGCTTGCAACTGGCTCTGCTGCCCTCCGTGCTGCCTCCACACAGAGCAGGTGACCTGGGCAGCTAAAGGCTGCTTTTTGGAGCAACCTGGCCAGTCAGTGAAACTTTACAATACTTTATCTCTAAACCTCATATCCAGTGTAAAGCAGAGACTGAAAGCAAATGAGGTGAGCAATAGCAAGGAGCTTCCCACTGTGCTTGGTGGAGTATATACATGCCTGAGCACAGAGAGGTTTCCCTGTAATTGATTGACTTCACTAGAAGAGCTTATTTTGTCTTCTGAGGTGTGAAAAACCATAAAAACAAGCTTTTAAAATGTACCTGATCTAAACCAGGCAACAAATGTAGAATCTTGTATCATCCCCTAACCAGTCAAGAACTGCTGAGGAGTGCTGATTAAATATGACTTACCTGCTCTTCCAACCGTGAGTTCTTGTCTAAAATCTGCAGCATGTGTTCCCTCAGGGCACTGTTTTCATGTTCAGCAAGTTTCCCTCTTTTAACCTTAGTGAGGAAGAGGGGGGAAGTGAAAGAATAAAATAATAACATAAGCAGATTTTTGAAAGTGTTGGTAAAAAAATTATTGATGCTAACATTCAAAATGTCTCCTTTATGCCTTGAAAGTGAGGGAAGGACAGTCCTGATTCTCTAGTATTTCAGCTTAGCCAGCAGAAATGGTTGTGAAAGGACATAAATTAGTTATTTTAATTATTCTGATTGGTCTGGGAGACAAAGTCCAGTCCTGGTATAGACAAAGATCTGTAAAACAGTACCTTTACATGACAGCCGTACTGCTTGTATGGACAGTCCACTTCTGCCTCGGGACACACAGCATGGTGCTTTTCAATCTGCATGTATTAATGAAGCAGTTTGTGATCAAATAAACACTTAGTAGTTTGAAGCACTAATAAAATCTAAATGCCTGCAAAAAGGGTGAATAAAGGGCATTGTCATGACATCACCAATCACTTTACCAGGAAAATGAGTATTCAGAATCAATAAGCAAGCCAGGTATTTTTCCATGCTGCAAAACTCCAGTGGCTTACAGTGACAGAATAATCCATTTATAAAATGGGAGATATATCCCTTTTAGGATTGAACAAGGGAAACTCCTACAGCAATGAAATTTTATTGGCACTGGCCAATGGGGTCTGCAGCATAGCTTTCAGTTCACATAAATTCATGTCATCTGCTGAATCTCAGTATCAGAAAAAAAAATAATAGTACCTCTTTTTTCAGAATTATTTGTGAACAGTTTTGGAGACAAGGCACAGGATAATCAGGACAGTCATTTTTCTCATGATTCTGAAGAAGAACAAAACAGAACAAGGCAATGGCTTTCATTTTTGTAAAGCATTATATACAGAGGAAGATACGCAAAAGGAAATCCCAAACATAAAAATGCAAGCCACATATCACTTTTTTGTTCATAAGAGAGCATCATTAATTGGTATGATTTAAAGTGCATTTATTATACTTTCTCCTTCAGCTACTCAGCCAAATTTTTTTTCAGGAGTTAAGCGCCATCGCAATGTTGGAACCTTTTCATTCAGCAATATCAAGGGTAAACAGGTGCTATGGATTCTGGGAATGCTTCATAATCTTACCTCTATGTTAATGAACACCACGTATGTATTACAGTACTGGCACCTCTCTTCTCGGAATTTACACTGCTGCCTCAAGTGCTCCTTCAGGTCTTTGCGAAGAACTCGATCCCGACATCCATCATTAGTGCATTGTGTGCATTCAAACAGACACTGCTGCAGATGCTCCTGCAACACACAGCAGCAGATTAAATGTCAAATTGTGACCTGGCACATTTCCTCAAATAATCAATCACCGCAGCACTCAGAATATGAACGAACACTGCGATTTACAAAGGCTACATAAAGCAAATGGTTCTTAAAAAATCCAAAACCCTAAGGCAAAGCTGGAACAAGCTAAAAGCTGTAATATATGCCACTTACAGAGTATAGCTGCCATAATCTTTGTACTTAAACCATGTTGCTACAATAACTCTGAAGACAATCACGGGAATTTAGCTGATCATAAATACACAGAGCTGTCATGAAAATCAAAGGCTTCAAAATTTGATCAAGCAAACCAACCTGATATCGCCCCAGAATTACTTTCGAACTGCAGTCAGGAAAGTTTTTGCAGAACACATGTAAGTTGAGAACTTCTCTTTTACAGCAGTTGTCTTTGAATACCTGTAAAGGAAGCAAACCAGCTTTAATGTGCAGTCACATGGGTCACATGGGATGTTATAAATAATATAAAAGAACAAAACATCACTACAGATCTTCTAGGTGTTCAAGTGTAGACACCATAATTGTGAGTATTGTGAGGCTCTTGGTAATTCATATTGAAAATTTGTATTGAAACTATAAATTCAACCATTTATGATATTTCTTTAAGCATAGGGTTTTTTCCCCCCCACGTAATTATTCCAGAGATGCTGATCTATCCCACAACCAGCAGGACTAGTAGCACAGGAGCTGGATAACCACTGCCAGAGCCTGCCTGTATCTAAGAGAAAGCAGCTGGAGCTAACAGGCTCTGAAAGCCAAAGCAGCTCTGTGCATGCTCCACTCTGTTCAAGCAGAGCCTTTGGGATGGGGGCAATGCTGAGGTATCTTTTCTGTCACCTCTGAGAAGCAGCACCGTTCTCAGCTGTGTGTGCAGAAACAAATGAAGCCCCCAGAACCAGCTCTCAGTCTTATTTAGAGATCTTCCCACATTGTTGTCAACAAAATTTGCAAGAAGTAGAAGATGGCAAAATAAAAACAAAAATCCTGTGCACAGTCTGATTATAATTTCCTATCAGGATGAGGAGAGAGAGGAAGAAGACATTTCATTTCCCTGGAAAATTTCTGGCAGAACCAGTATATAGCATACATTTAAGCTTTGGAATATAAATAAGGACCAATGAATCCATTATAAAACAAAAAACCAAAACCAACAATAGCTTGCAAAATGCAAAGGATTAACTTCTCTTTTCATCTAAAAGTTACCCAAAAGTAAATTAAGTCTTCAGGGTTAATGAGAGCTAATGGAGATAATCAAGAAAGCAAATTATAGCCAAGTTAAAATGAAGACAATCAGATAAACAAGATATCCCAACATTTAAAAACCAAGTCAGTAAAATCTCAGTTAAAAAAACAGATATCTGGTGACTTGAGAGGATTCAAAGCTTTGTGAAATTCTTCAACATTTTACTAGAAATACAGAGGACTAAAATGAAATCACTTTAGAACATGAGGTATAAAATGAAGCTTAAGCTAGACAGCCATAATCCCTTTCTGGGAGAGCATCACGAGTACACTGCTTCCTTTAGCATTATTTCAGAGACAAAAAAAATGCTCTTCCCTGAGGACTAAAAGCCACCTTGTTCTCAGCTGTCTTGCCTTTCCTATGTAAATGCTGACTGCTGAAATAAAGCTATAGCCACTTACCTCATGCATTTTTATTGTTTCTTTGTCGACAGGACAGGTGGGTACTGCATTTAACTCTCTAGATCAAAAGAAGAGTTGTGTTAACCCGCAGGAAATTCAATTTACTTTATGAAATTGGGCTATGCTATAATCTGACTCTGACAGAAGTCAGCAGTAGATAACATAAAAACAACAACAAAAAGTCCTTTAGAAACACTTTCATCTGGCAACTACACAGCCAAATTCTGCCCACAGCTCAAAGAGAGCATAAAGCAGCAACCGTGAATACGTAACAGAAAGCAGAGTCTGTCCTAAGAGCGTTCAATGGTAAAAACCACAAGATGTTTTTTAATTAAGAGAACATTGTCACTTTCTGACCATCTGCAGATCACAAATGTCATATCTCAGAAAATCTCACTGTGTGCTTTAAACCCAGCCTTTGTCTACTAGAAGCAGTGCCCTCCTTGTTACACCAGTAAAAGAAGATCTAATGGCTTCCTTCTTAAAAAGCATAGAACACATGTAAAATCTAGGAAAATGGTGATAGGCAGTGCAAAAGGAGTCAACCCAGAGACAAAGCAGCAAACATGAAGCATCTAAAGTTCACAAAGATAATGTGACATCCATCCACACAAAGAGGCTCCTCTGCAACCTTTCCAGGTGAAATCCTGCCCTCAGGTACACCAGAGACCATAATGTATTCCCAGACAGGTCTGGAGGGTAATCTCTTTTGCACCAAGAAAGAGAGATGTCAGCAGCCTTGTGATCTGACTGCAGCATCAGGTAATATTAACATCAGTTTATAATTCTGCTAAATTCAGAGGAATTATACAGAAGCAAATGAACACAGCCTAATCTAACCCCCAGCACCCACACCGTGAGACATCAATGCAGCCAATTCCTCAGAAGAGCACCATGGCAGACAGACAGACCACAGCAGCATCTCACACAGCACTATCAGCTTACATCTACAGTTTCTTCCCGCTGACTTCCCTGCGGCTCACCAGCACCGGGTGAGGTCTTTAGAGACACCTTTAAAACACTGAGCACGCAGTCACTGGGTTCAACAGAGCCCTTCCATTGACTCCCTTCGGGCTGGTAACATTCTCATGGCACTCACTGCTGATTTACAGAAGACATGGGCTGCTTTTTTTAGGCAAGGGAACGAGGGGAGCTTGCGGAGTGTGCCCTCACCTCAGTGCAAGAATGCACTGCTGGCAGAAGCGGTGCCCGCATCCCGTCTGGTGGGGGTTGCGCAGGACCAGGTGGCAGTAGGCGCACTTGTACCGCTCCTCCAGGCTCTCCACAAACCTGTAGTCGGCGTGGGGCTCGAAGTCCAGGGAGCTGGTGCTGGAGGAGTTCTGGCGTGTGAAGATGCCCGAGAGAGCAGCGGGCTCGTCACAGGCCATGGGAGCCGCACTGGGAAGCGAAGCAGCCGCAGGGAGAAGCTCTTCAAACACTCCCTGGCAGCCACTCTGCCTCAGCTACCGCTTGCAGCAGGCTGCTGCTGGCAGGAGGGCTCTCATCTGCAGGGGGGAGACAGGTTTCAGAGAGAAACATGGTGCCAGCTATGGAAGAACAATAAAACACTCACAGAACCACAAAAAGATCATGCTACAAGCATCAAAGCACACTTCTTTGGAAAAGAGCTTCACAATCTGAAAATTATTCCACAGAATTGAGATTTTTATGGTTTGGCTGGTTTTTGATTAGCAGAGGCCAAGTTTTGGCCTTAATGTTCACCAGCAAAGTCTCCACTTAAAGTAGAGCCCACCCATATGACTTTACAAGATCATTGCACTGGTTCAAGCAGGAGATGGCTTTGTGGTTCCCCAGCAAGGAGCATGCAAAAAAAGAAGCCAGCAGGGGGATTTTACCTTCTGTTTTGGTGTTACAGGAGTTGAAGCCTCTTAACTTGACATCATTCTTTTTCCCATTGATCATTCATTTCTAGCAGTAAACTCTTATTTTACTTAATTACGTGCAAGTTTTTTGCTATATTAATTCTGTCTGAAAGAAGTGGTGGGAAAAAAAGAAAAGCAGGGTTGCAATCAGAAGTGTGGTGTTTTTCTTTCAACCTACCATAACTCATACACAGCACAGGAATGCAACGTTAATTTTCCAGTAGGAAAAACCATCAACATTTGTTCCAAGCCTTAAGCCACAAACCCTGAGATTTGCCACCAGTCTCTCAACCTTGAAGTTTTTTTTGGGGTTTTTTTGCAAGTAGCTCAAGCCCTAGAGCCACTCTGGTTGGCACTTCTTGCAGCTTTGCACTCAGATGAAGTTTTCCTTCCAGGGCTGTACAAAAGCACAACACACCTGAGATTCCAGATCCTCATTTCCTGAGGGAAGGGCTCAGTTTTACAGCTGTGCTGTGGGATGCTATTTCTTCTCTGTGTGCACCACCCGCCCTGTCAGTCACTGGAGTCACTCTTACTGGCATCAGCACCTGTCTGAGAGCTCTCACTCATCTCCAGTAAGGTCACCGAGGGCATTTGCTGCTTTTGGAGGGAAGCAGGGCCAGCACATGACCATTAACAACCTTGTGTCTGGCATGAAACTGTGTCCAGTGCTGACACTCTGCCCTCCCTCCCTATTGCAGTGGCCTCCTGGCCCACAAAAGCAGCAATTAGTGATCTGCCACAGAGCACCTTGGGCTTCAGAGAGCAACATCCATTTTCCTTTCCACTTTAACAATCCATACTGGGCGAGGAAATCCTGCAGACAGATAATGTGCCTGATTCAAAAACACACCAAAGCACTTAACCAATTAAAATGTATTCCACAGCCAACATTTAAGTGCTCCTGTGGCTCAGCACCCTTGTTAGTGGCTGTACATAATATTCATCTCCCCGGCTTGTGAGAGTCTCCCTACCTTTTACCAGGCTGAATGAATGACATACTCCAGCACAACTGAGAATCTAACATTGGTAGCCCTCAGGAATATGAACCATAATCATATTCCAGCCATTAAAGACTTATTATTCCAACAGGAGTTTGCAAATCACCCTGTTTGGTCCCTTCAAATGAACAGACTCCTGCTTCAAACCAGACAGGACTGTCAATTTGCTTCTTTCATTTTTAAACAGTTGATCTTTCCTCCTCTGAAAATGGGGTTCCCAGTTCCCTGAAACCTAATAATGAGCAATTCTCCTTTCCTCATGTCAACCAGAGATGACAAAATGCAGCCTGAGGGATTGCCAGTCTCCAGTCTGGGCTGCCTCGGTAGCAGATGCCAACAGCAGAGTGTTGCTGCTGCTGCTTCTAAAGCAGATGGAGAGCTGTCACCATTCACTTCCAGAGCATGGACCACCCACAGGATGAGCTGCCTAAGAACTCACTCTGCCATCGGTCAGTGACAGCCCTGAAACAAATTTCCTTCCTCTCTCTTATTACTGCTCTCTCTCCCATTTACTTGGCATACAATTTCCCCAGCCCTATCATGTTCCAGCACTTACCTCATCTGCTGGTATGGTTTAGCAAGCTAATGCCACTCTGTTGTAAAAACACACTAAAATAAAACCACCAACAACAACAATACTATGTTTTACCCATTTTGCCTTTAGGGATCTTCCTTAACTCCAGAAACTCCAGCTGGGGTGACATATTTTAGGCAAAAAAGTTATGGGACACATTAAAAAGAAACAGTCAGCAGCCCAAAATTCCATCGAGAAACTCCTCCAGAGTTCTCACTGCTCATTAAATCAACCAAAATATTCCTATTTCTTTCTTCAAGGAGCCACTCTGTTGTGGTACAACACCTTCCAACTCTCTTGCTGAAATGAGAGCCTGTATCTCTTTAAACACCTTCATAATGCACCCAACCCAGATCCCACTCCTAAAAATGGAGACTCTTGGCACCTCCATGAAAGCAGCTCCTCCACCTCAGCCTGGCCCAGGACAGCAGAGCACAGCTGAGGGCACCTCAGGACACAGCAAAGAGCAGCCCAGGTGAAAGGGGAGCTGCCTGCTCAGAGGCCAGAGCGGAAACCTCGCAAGACGAGGAGTTCACCACTGCTGCCAGCCTTGCAGGAGCTTTGCTGCAGGGCTTGCAGCTGTTCTGCTGGAAGAAATGGGCTGCTCCAGGAGGAGGCCTGTGCATGGCAGCTTTGCTCAAGCTGGAGAGGTGCCCGTGTGAACCAGCTGGGGAGACTCAGAGGAGCTGAGAAACAGCAGCCCCGTGGCAGCAGCACTCGTGGGATGCGCTCCAAAGCAGCCCAGGCAGGTGTAATTCCCATCCCAGCACTCACCAGTGACTCAGGGCAGCCTGCTGCAGCTTTGCTCCCGCTCCTGCCTTCCAGCACATGGGCTCTGAACTGAAACCAAAGGGAAACCGTCAGGGGAAAAAGTGCTGCTGGGTGGCAGTGAGAGCAGCCCAGGGTTATCTGAATCAATTTCCTGCTTACGCTGATGCCTGGCCAGCGTAGGTAGGGGCTGAAGTAGCTTTCACTTCTGTCTGCTCACAGCTTCCAGCAAGGGGAAGCTGTCCTGCCTTTGTGTATGCTGCAATTTTTCAGCACACGTGTGAACTGTAATGCTGGTTTAAAATAGCAGAGAGCGGCAGGCTGGTGCTGCGTAATGATGCTCTTGTGGCAGACACAGTGCACGCTGTAAAGGGGATTTTCACTGCAACTGCACTGCAACAGCACACACACAAAACTCCCCAATCTAAGGAGACTGAAAATCTACACATTAAAAAAAAAAAAAGGATTCCCCTATACTGAAATAAATAGAATTAATTCTGCCCACACATAAAAAAGCGGTATGAATCACTAGAAGTCAAGCCCCAGTCCTATAAAAGCTACCAGTGAGTGGGAGCTCAAAGGCAGTGCAGTACAAAGAGCTCCCAGCTGCACCTTTCCACCACTTCAGCATCCCAGCCTTGCCTGCATGAGCTGCACAGGCAAAATGCTTCTGGAACAGCTCTTTATATGCAGCTGCCTTAGCCTCACTGGAAATAATCCAAGTGGGAGAATTTTCATAATAAAAATAAACTTTATAAATTGGGAGCTATTCTGTTTTAACTACCACCACACCAAACTGAGCCCAAACATTTTCCAGTAAAATGCTCCACACTTAGAATTGCTTGTTGTTCAGAAATTGAGCAGAACATAATAATAAGGAGAAAAATCAGCATAGGCATGACTATAAAATTGCATCAACATTTTAAACCCATGTTCAAACAGCTCCACTCCAGCACTGCTGCTCTCTATCTACAGCATCAGCAGTCAGAATGACAGAGGCTGTGTGGAACCATGATCACACTGAACTACAGTGGACAGATTAACTTTTCTAGCCACAAAGACACACTTTCTGCATACAGGAAAAGCCATTCCTTATAATGTGGTTGCTTTTTTTTTTTTTTTAAGAGAACATGTTTTTCCTGTTTTCTCTCATATGAAGCCAATCATTACCCCATGAGCTATGACTGCACCATTACAGCCAAAACTTCCCTGACAGCAGAACCAGGCACAGACACTGGGTGCTACCATGTCTCAGACTGAGAAGGGAAAATATCCAGGCTGTTATCACAGATTTGATCACCACACATGGACAAGAAGACAGGATCCCTGGTCCTGCTGCCCAGCAAATGGGGCTGATCACTGCATGAGGGGAGGGTGATGCTCAGCCACCCCCCAGGACTGGGGTATTCCCAGTAAAAAGCACCTTCCTCACCAGCTTCCATGTCATACATTCAACAGGGCACAGAAAAAAAGGTTATGCACCTACCTTTCTGTAGCTCTAGTTCAGCTGTGTTGCTTTGCCCTAATACACTTGATAGGGACAAGTCTTAGAAGATGCCCTGTCCCTCCCTCTAAAATTATCTACCTTTTATGGTAGATCAGACCATAAAAGGCACAGTGGGAAAAGTTTTGCCAGATTTGGAGGTCTAAGATCAAGTCACTTCATTGGGAGGTAACAGGCAGAAACAGGATGGAGGGGAACATATCTTGCATTTAAAAAAAGCCCTCCAAGCTGCCTTATAAACTATTAAATTTATAAACAGATTAGCTGCCTCCAGTACTTTTTAATTAAAATAACAGAGTTGTATGATTTACTACTCTAAGGCCCTCCAAAAGCCCACTATTTTGGGGACAAGAAATATATGGCCCAACTCAACACACAGAAGAGCAAACAGTTTGCTAAAGAATGACCAAAAGTATCTACACAGTTTGAGATACATATTTAAGATATAGCAAGTTATATGCAGTCATGTGGAAACAGGAGATGATGACATCTGACATCACTGGGGATCATCCTTGTCCCTTCCAGCCCAGGAAGGCTTAGAACATTCTGGCTGACAACAAAACACACTTGCAGAGTCCCCATATGGGAGAAGGCCCCTGGCTGCACCATGTGTGTCCCTGCAGCAGAGGCTGAGGAGGGAAAGGATTCCCTGCTGCACCAACACAGACCCACTGCTACCACTCAGGGCTCGCTCCCACTTCACCTGGCAGCAAATGGACCTCAGGAACTGCTCTGCTGTTGTTCCAATCACTTAAAAGCTGCAGGGCAGTGACCAGCTGGTACCCAGGAGAGAGTATTTCTAACAGCAACAATTTCCTATTGGATATGTGCCTGAGCCCCTCCAGGGGATGTTGCTGCAGAGGACAGCAGAATAAACATTTTCTTTAGAATACAGACACCACTATGCTATTGAAGTTACAACTGTAATATTACCTCATCCTCAAGGCACAGTAAAACCTTACTAAGCAAGCATCAGTTTGCTCATCTCCATAGGCAAATTTTCACTAAGCAGAGTAAGACAGTAGGGTTTCCTTTGCATAGAGGTACAGTCAAGCATTACAATAAATTCCCATAAGACTAGACTGCATCAGGGTTTTAAGACACAGGTTACGACACAGCATTCAAAAAAAAATTAAAAATACATTCTTACAATTAATGAAGTGTGTCTGGTGCTAAAGCAGCTTTGATTTTACAGCCAGTTTACTTATTTGCTACATCTACTGTCTTCCCTGATGTTCTAAAAATAATTAATTAATTTTGCATTATCAAGGAATCTGTTTCTAATCAACACAATATTGTTATGCCTTAAAATAACCTCATTCACAGCTGGAAAATCACCTTGTTGCCATCACTTCTGTAGCAATCTCTGAATGATTTCTCACCTTCCCAAGCACCGACAGAAATCTCAGTAAGAAGGTTCTGCCTCTCACCCTTACAACAGCACGACACCACTTTGCCAGTTCAGGGGGTGAACTTGTTCCCTGAGATGTTTTTGGGTCTGCAGCCTAACCCAAACCCCTGCGTGCCAAGCCCCTGAACAGCCCTTCTGAAGTGAAAAATAATTCTGGCAAAGTGAAGCTCCTGCCAGCATTAACAAGACACATTTTGGTAAAACCATACCTGGAAACTGTAGCTAGTCCTCAATGGGGAGAAAATGAGAGAGAGACAGAGAGACAGAGAGCCAGAGCATATCAGCGTGAGCTTTGTGGTTAACACAGCAGTACAAGCATTTTAAAACAGCAAGGGAGTGGAAATCCCCCAGAGTAGCTTTGAAAAGATCATGCATGAAAATGTTTTAGAAGTGTTAGGATACAAGACAAGCCACTGAAAAGTATTTTGCCTTACTGCAATGTAAGGACTGCAAATTTACCATCTGGAGCATCACAAGGTTACCAAGGATGTTTCTCACAGTTAGAATCCAAGATACAGAATAGATTTCACCTTCCACAAAACTGGTGAGTGATGTGATCAAAGAAAAAGTACAATGGCAGCAGGAAACACACAAGGACATAAAGAACACCCAGGTTCAATCCTGTAAAAACCCTCCGTGTAGCCTTGCAAAGCCGGGTGAACCCATCCCTTCAGGATGTGAAGTGGCAGCTCACAGAGGAAGCAGCACTGGCTCAGTCACATCAGCTCATGCCACAGGCTGCACAGGCATGAGACATTCAAACAGAACTCTCAAACAGAAACAAAATACATTTTAAGAAAATAAACATTTTATTTGGTTTTGTAATAACTTAAGTGGCCATAAACCCTAATGGTTTTGTAGTCTCAACTTAATTGTGCACACAAGATTCTTGGCAGCCTCTCTCCCCAGTCCAAAATGTGCTGCCCTTGAGGCAGTGCCTTAGGCTCCATCTCTACCCTCACTCTTTCTTAATCCTCCTCTGTCCTCTTCCTTTGCTTTCTGGTCTCTTGTTTTAATTTTTTTCCCCTTCCTTTCCTAAAATAACCTACTATATTTTCTCTGAAGGCAGTAATTTTAAAGTCTCCTGTTATTTAAAATACTAATTTTCCAAAGAAAGTGTCAATTCTCTTTTGTACTTAATGCAACATATACCCTCTTTCACCTTTTCCCTTTAATTGAGCTTTCTCCCGAAGCATTTCTAACCTGTTTCAATTTCCATCTCCCCTCCCAGGAGGTATCTCAACCTACGGCATCTTTTCCTGAACCTTCCGTGAAGCTCTAGAACAAAGACAAACCATTGCACCATGAAGTCAGTGGCAAAGGGAAAGGCCTGCTGCTTCTTTATGGGATCAGTTAAATTGATTTGAATTGCATTTCTCAGCACAGCCTAAGCTCCTTTCTAAGTTAAGCTTTTTAACCCAGGTATCCTTTCATCCCTGACATCAGCACCTGTCCTCAGGTTGCTTCTGGTCAGGCTGTAGACTGCACACAGGCTGACACCAGAACAGCACAACAGCTTGTACAGACTTTCCTCATCCAGCTGGATTTCTCGGGAGGAGGCAGTGCTGCAGAAACTCTAGTGCTCTGCAAGCACAGCTCCAGGAAGCACCATCTGCTTCTGGGAAGCTTTGGGGAAAACCCCAAATGGAGAAGTTGAGTGGGAGCAGGATCTTAATTTTAAACAGTTTGACTCTGCAGATGAGTAGAGAGCAGCAGGCCAATGTTATTGCTCGTGAGCAGCCCTTGACCTTCTCCAGCATCCAAGCACAGTGCTGAAACCCTGACCAAGCTTCAAGCAAACTCAGGGGGATGAACTCAAGGGAAAAGACAGACAGCACCAGCATTTAGGAAACAGAATGAAGAGACAGAAAAATGAAATAAAGAAACAAAAGTTACTGGGAAAAAAAAAATAGTTAGGGACAGAAAGCAAGACAACTAACAGGCTTTAATTTTTTATCTTTTAGAGTACTGAAGGCAAAGTGAGTCATCACTTTTCCTAACAAATAATTGGCCATTACAAATTTTGCAGAACTAGGTCTTTGGGGCTTTCAAATTCACATCTCTTCCTCTGCTCTATAGGGACACAATGTTCAGGACTTCAGCTGATTTGACCACTCTCTTGGTTTGGCCATGAATATCTGTTTCAAGCACAAGAGATCCTTGGTTTAATTTTCCACACCCAGACCCTTTGACTCAGTCTTAATAAAGAACTTTATCAGCATCCATACAGAAATCTGTGAATCAACTCAATGGTTATTCATCTGAATTACTAGGATGAGCTCAATTTTTTTTTTTAACCACATACATGTGTTTGGTGACATGTAGACACACATTTTTCTAGCCACAGCTGTCACTGAAAATGCAACTGCTCATGTAAAAACCCAGTACTCTCAGAGGTCCCATGAACATGCTGTTGGGAAAGTGGTGACAGCAAAGATGGTCACCATTTTCTTTTCTTAAAAAGAAAAAAAACATCAACAGGAAAAAGGATGTGTTCTTAAAAAGTCCTTCCCATGAGGATAGGCTGGAAATGTACAGAGGCAAGAACCAGGAGCAGCGCTCTCCCATGGCCCGTGGAAAGCTGTGCTGCTCTGCCTGAGCATGCTGCCATAGCCAGGCAGCCACAGCATTTTTTGTTTCTTTCATAGGGCCACATTCCAGTTTCAAGCACATGGATATAGCAGACAAGACTGTGAACCATATGACTTAGCACAGGTCAGACCATTTTATATCTCACAGCATCTACTTTGGGAAAAACTGCTTTGCACATGGGTCCTAACCTTGAGGTTTGGTTTAGTCACTAGGTGGTTTTGCATAATAATAGTAACTTCTATATTTGGATATAATCTTTTGCAAAGTAAGTTCACAGCAACATACAGGATCTCTGTATGCAAACATCAGTATATTACACACAAAGACTTGCTTTATCAGTCCCACTCCCAGAGACAAACATGCTTAACTACACAGCATTCTGGGCAATCCCATATCAAAATCACTGTGGTTTAGGTGCAAACAGTTTCTCACACACTTGTGTATTTATTGCAATATCGAGCAGGGGAAACTGGAAATTTTTGCAACATTTTTATTAACAATACAGCATGACTCAAGTTTCCTCACTTTCTCGAGCCCAGCCACACACCAGGGTAAAGAGGTTAGCTTCTTTCCTGGGCTGAGGGAAGATACTGGAACAACTACACATTTGCAGCCCAAACTGGCACTGATAAGGGACTGATGACTAACAGTGTGATCATTAACCCTTCGCAGTTATTGCTGAGAAACTTGGACAGAAAAGCCCCAGAAAGCAGAAGAAGAGGTTCTGAAATCCTCAGCTCAGGGCGCAGACCCAGGGGCACGATGGCTGTAAGGTGTCCCAGCCAGCTGGCTGGGTCCTGCAGCAGCACCCTCAGGCTGCCACACTGCTCTGGGCAGGGAATGCTCCCAAGAACAGAATGTCTGTGAGGCAACAAAACTGCCTGAACCCCTGCAGCCACCAGCAACTGCCTCCACAGGATCTGGACACTAAGAAAACTACAACTCACACAGACTCTCTGAAAAATCAGAGAAAGGAGTATCTCTCCCTAGCCAGATGATTCTTGATTATGAATTATGTCTATTGATGCAAAATCAAAGGGTCAGACAAAGAGCTGAAGAGAGAAGGCTATAAGGGTAACTTGAAGGTGGGCACAAATAAAGTCCAGGAGATGAAGCAACCTTCAAATCTGCACTTGCCCAGTGAAGGGATTTTGCAAAGTGACCCAAGTAATATGAGGCACAGAATGAAGAGCTCCTGACCTGTCCCACAGCTTTGACAATTGTGTAAGAACTGCCCCTGACTTAGAGAGCCTGTGTGCTGAAATAAAGAACTGTCTGGTTTCTGCTCTCTGCACTTTCCTGAATTCTTTCTGTCCAAGTCTACAAGAGCAGCTTTCTAGCTTTAAAATCTTGTCCCCTCCTGGCTGTGATTCCTTACCCTCTCAAAACTCCATAAACACCCTGTGAGCGCCACAAGCTTTTCTTTCTTCCTTCATGGTGTTACTCTGAACCTTATCTTTCAGCAGCTTACAACTCTTCACTTTCTAACCCTGAAGTTTCCTGGGAGGTACTCACAGATGTGCCCTATCGCTGCAGACCATCTTCCTGCGCAGGCTGAACTCTCAGCCTCTCCTCTGACATCTGGGCTGTGGATGATGCCCAGCCCAGAGGTAGCACGATGACCCCAAGCTTCCCCCACAGCCCTTCTTCTGCACAGCCCGTGTCCCAACCTGGCACAACCAGACCTGTTCCACTCAGCTCCATAACCCTCATCTCCCTCTCAAGCTTTAAGTGTTAGATCTTCACAGTACCTCACCAACTTCTGCTGCTTCATGTATGACACAGTATTTCTTGCTACTAACACAAATAAAACTGTCATCCATCACCATCATCTTCTGGTTTTCTTCAAATCAACGGTTTAGGTTGGAAGGGACCTTAAAGATCATCTTGTTCCAACCACCTGGCCATGGGCAGGGACACTTTCCACTAAACCGGGTTGGTCAAAGTCCCATCCAGGCTGCCCTTGAACACTTCCAGGAATGAGGAAAACACTCATTTCCAAACACTTATTTCTCTTGAAATGTAATATTTTACTCATTTATCCACTCTGTGTGCTGCCACAGGGATCATTTTTCTATGCCACAGCTACAAGCTCATCACCTCTCACTGTCCCTCCACCTTCCCCCTGCACCAAAACCTCATCACTTTCAAAGCCTGTTCTGGTCTTCCTCCACTTGCCTCTGCATTGCCTCCAATGATATAAAGGTTTCCTCTCTGTTCAAGCAATGATAACAGGCTCCACTGCCTCCCTGTCATGTATTTGAGCAAGTGTGTGCTGAGAGGGCATTTTTTTTTTCCTTGAGAAATATTAGCAGGCTGTTCTACTTCAAATCTCTTCTCCAAGATCTCCTTTACCAAGCAGCTGGGAACAACTGGCTTCTGACTCTCAAGGTGATCCAGAGGGTCCCACTGTCCCCTATTGTTCCCGCATGCAGCACGTCCCTCCCTCCTGACTTGAAACTATGAACTCCCTTCAGCCAAGGGCTGTACAGTTCTTCCTTCTGTTCACACAGAGGGGTCCTCAACCACAGCAAACACTTCTCCACACAACAGAAATAAGATAATCAAAGCTAACAGCAAAGGAAGTTGTCCTGGGTGGTTTTAGGCTGAGTGCAACACATCACCACACCTGCTCAAAAGCAATAATACAACAAAGTCCTCAGAGAAAAGATGATGGTGTGAAAAACCAGCCAGGCCCAGGCTAATGCACAACGGCATTCCAGAACACCCCAATTTTACCTTCATCACTAACCCTGCATGATCTGTGTGCAATCAGCAGGGGAGTTTAAAAATACAACTGTTTCTGCTGCCAGCCTGGAGATGTGCCTGACCTGAATACACCCAACTATTTTTAGCACATCACTGCACTCCTTTCAGCCATCCCATATTTATGAAACGGAAGTTATGAGGAAAGTTGTTCTTGGCTGGCACCGGGAAGGCACAGCCAAGTTAACAATAGGCAAAGCAATTCAAGAAGTGCCAACAATAGGAGCTCTTCGTTTTTCCTTCTAAATATGAAGTGTTGAAAACGTTTGGTTAAAGCCTGCTGCCTCAAGATGCTCTCAGAGTGCTGCTAATCAAGGAAAATCAGAGGACCCCCTGCACAAGCACAGAGGGGGGATTCCCTCCCCGCAGCAGCATTCAGCTGACACCAGCGGGGATGCTTGTTACCGGTCCCTGCAGTCTGAAGAGATCGGAGCTGCCAAGACATCCTTCATTCATCGAGCAGTCCCGGCTTTGTCTCCTACCCAACCCCCAAAATTTCAGCCCTGCGTCAGCCTCTGGGGCGGGCACCGGGCCTACCTTTCCCTCCGGCATCCCGGGCAGGGCTGGGCTGAGCCCGGCTCCAGGGGCGAGGGCTCCACCGCACCTCGCACAACTCCCGGGGCACCAAGTTCGGCTTTGCGACCCGACCCTGAGGGAGAAGAGCGGCCCCGCGCAGACCTGTGTGCACCGCGGGGCTGCCGGGGGCACTTCAGGGAGGTGTCGCCGCTGCTCCCTCCCGCCAGCCCGGCCAGCCCCCAGCGCTGCCGCCGCGCCCCGGCCCGGCCCCGGCCCCGTCCCGCCCGCCCCGCCGCACCTGTGCCGGCGCTCGCCGCGCTCCGAGCCGGGCCGGGGCCGCCCTGCCGGCGGTGCGGGGCCGGCCCGGCTGCGCGGGCGCGGCTCCGTGCGCGGCTCCGGCGGGCGGGGGGCGCGGCGAGGACGCGCCGCTGCCGCTACCGCGGGCGGGAGCCGCTTTCGGTTTCATGGCAACCCCCGGGCGGGGAGACCCCGGCGGCGGCACCGCCCCGCTCCGGGCAACGCCGGCGCTGCCGGGCTGGGGGAGGGAGCAGCGGCGTCCCCCCGCCTCCTTAGGGACGGCAGCGCCGGGACCGTGGCTGGGGAAGGCTCCCGGCAGCCCGTCCTCAGCCGCCGCTGGCCCCGGCTCGGCACACCGCCCGCAGCCTCCCGAGCGGCCGGCGAGGTGCGGGAAGGTCGGCAGAGCCGTGCCCCGCAGCCCGGGGAGTTTTCCGGACACGGCACTCGCTGCCCGCCCTCCGCCTGCCTCCAGGGAGGACAGGTAGCTGCTCTTTCATTATTTACACCTGCGGGACCGAAAAAGCGAACAAAGCCCATGCTAAACAGGAAAAGAACGCGGATATGCCACACGCCTGTTATTATTTGCTATTATTATATTATATTACCGTTCTGTTCCGTGCCAGGACTACTGGCTAATGACCCGAGACGTGCCGAAGGGTTCCTTCCAAAGGCAGGCAACGCCGCCCTCCCCCAGCCAACAGTACTGATGCGAGGGCTTTGCTGCCTGTTCCACATCACCTGCTGCTGCACTTTGTTCTGTCTTTCATATTAAACCACTTCTAGGAAAACCAGTCTCTAAGGAACATTCCATCCTAGCACACGCACAAAAGCCCTAAGGCTAGCAAAAAAAGAAACAACTGGGTCGCGTTATGTAGATTGTCTTCAAAGGAGCTCTAAAACCAATACTAATAAAATGGTTTCAGAGAGATTATTCTTTTGCTAAAATGACTCAGAATTGTCACTCCCGAGGGAGTCAGTCCATAGTGTCTGGGAACCCAGCAAAGACATTACTACAACAGACACTTTTCAAAACACTCCCTCTTGCAAAAAGTAGGTTGCCTTTACCTTTTTATTAGTTTTTGGGAATATCCTGATTAGTCTGGGTACTACATGCTGGAAGTTCACAGGAAGATCCGTCAGAACAACAGGCATTATGTTTCTGTAATTAAATATTTATAAATTTTAATGAATAGTTTAGAGGTGGGATCAGGTTCCCAAGCTGGTCATTGGCTGCACTATCCTCCCAGTGCTGAACATAATTCCCCAGAACAGTGCTTTGTGGGGTTGAAGATCCATCAATAAAATCATCAGATATCAGGGTGCAGGCATTAGTTTAAAAATCCCTCTTCACTTAAGGCTCAGTGAGTATAACAGGATGCCTGGTCTGCATTAAGACAAAGTTGCATCCTTGAAACTGCAGTAGAGATCACAATCCTTGAATCTCAGTGCTTCCTTTTGAGCCAATCCAAGGGAAAACTGCCAAGTCAGTAACAGCAATGAAGATTTATTGTGCTGCTAGAATTCTTTCAGTGTACAAAACTGCACCGAAAAAGAACTTTAAGATTAAAGAATTTGAACTAAAAACTAAAAAGTAGCAGCCTTCGCTAGTGGCAAAAATGAAGTAATTATTTTCCAAAGTTGTATTTCAGAATTAATTTTGAGGATGTCTGTTCTATAAAAGGGGGTACCTGCTAATTAGTCTAGATACTGTTGCCTGCATATTCTGCTTCTCCTCCCTACTGACTGTACATTTTTGACACCTAATTAATCAGCAATGGATTATGAGTAGTGTTAGGGAGTTCATGTTTGCCTTTATATTTCATAAACAACTGCTGAGAATCTTAAAGCAGATGTCTATCCCATCAATGCGGGGTTTCAACTTTGAGGCAAACTCTTGAGGTTTGGCTACTTCAGCCTCAGGAAAAACTGGAGGTTCACCATGTTTAGCAGGATGACTGAGCTGTATTCAGCGCCGTTTGCAGTGCAACATTGCTGACTTCTCTGTAACTTCCCTTGCAATATGAAACACATCTCCAAGCACACTATTTCATGATGTTTGGCTTTGCTTTTCTGCCTGACAACCACATTTCTGCCTGGCCTCAGCTGTAAATTCAGTCTATTCCTTTCTTTTGCTACAAAGAGCCACAAAACAGTCCTAGTAACCTTCATCCCAAACTATTCCCTAAACTCTGCAATTAGTCTCTGTCCATTCACAAACTCCCATATCTGTAAGCTACTGGTTTGTGTTCTGTTCATAATGCATTGTGAGGTTTCCAGAGTAAAGAAAAATGCCAACACTCTAAGGATGAAAAAAACCCTAAGGACAAAAGTACCTATTTCCTTTTGCTCAGGAGCAACAAATTAAACTGCTTTACTATGATGTGCAATGTTTAGTGATTGTTTTATTAAATGCAGAAATACCTGCTCAACTTTGTACCCATTCTGATTTAAAGTGCAACAATTAAATCTGATAGTTCTTGTACATCCATATTTTGCAAGTGTTGTTTCTTGAATACATGTTGTTCCGATTATGCCTTGCATTTGTAAAATGCAATTTCTTAGTACCATTTTGCTTTATTAACTAAAATAAACTGTACAAAAAGCTGTAGAGTTACATTAGCTTTGAACATTGTAGGATACATGTTCTCTGCCAAACGTTAGTGTGCAAACATTGTACATTTTTTAAAGTGACAAAATTAAGCCAACCTTGAAGTCAGAGTTCATTACTACATTACAAAACAGGAGACTAGATATGGCAAAAGAAATTTCCCACTGAAATCAACACCATTTATAATTTTATTTCTAATTCTTAAAAAAATATAAATGAATTTAGAAGAGAATCACAGTATAAGGGCCCTAACATATTAGACCATTACAAGGTACATAAAAATAGAAGACACAGATTTCTTTGAAACTTTAATCCTTTGATTAAGCAGCAAGCATATCACTCTCCAGGCAAACACTGCTTAAAACAAACCCTACCCCCAAAACAGGACGTGCAAACTGTATGCACATATTCTGCAAAGCACACAATAAAGACATTTTGCTATGTACATACTTATTTAGTACTACAAATGCTAGGAGTTCCCTACTGTGTGCTACAGTGTAGGTAAATTAAGAAATACTACCCTACCTATCTCTGACCCTCCCTCCCCCCTTCAAATACAGCACCTTTGCCCAGTTAGAGAATATTTAAACAAGATTAAACGGAATTACAATGTACTGAACAGTTTCATAGCAGTTGGTGGTGGCCAACTGTACTGTAACACCCAACATTCTGCATACTGAAGTCTATCAACAAGAGACAAGACAAAAATTAGCAGATGTACAATACACACACCTGGGAGACTCAATGCTTAAAAGTCAAAAAAAAAAAAAAAAAAAAAAAAGAAAAAAAAGAAGGAAAAAAATCCTGAAGATGAATCTTACCACTGTTAACAATTAAACTATAAAAATGTACCATCTGGTTTTGTATTGGTTTTAAAGACCAGAGCAGCCAGATTTGTGTGCAGCTGGTGAGGGCACACTAAAGGCTCATGACTCCCAGAACACAAGTTTCCACGACTGCTAATTCCTTGGTGCTTGTTTTAAAATTCTGTTTTACTTAGACAGGGGGTCATCTGATGCTCACATAGTGGCCAAGCACCTACTCTGATGCAAAAGAAAATTTGTAAGAAAGATCTTTTGTACAACACCTCAGCGCAGCAGTGAAAGCTCTTGAGAAAGAAAAACCTCCCAAGTTTGATCTGAGAATATTTTAAAATGAAGAACTAAAACATAAAGGTCAACACTTCAACTGAAATTCAGGTTACAACTATCAAACTTTAATACTACATTTTCAAATGAAATAGAATCTGATAGTACAAGAACTTCCCTTTGCACATTAAAAAAAGACCTTATGTACCTGCTTAAACTGATCATTAGACCACCTAATTTATCTGTGAAAAAAAACCTAGGGAGAGCATATCCCATTTGCATAAAAAGTCTCATTTTAGTCAAGGGCAAATCTAGTTAAAAACAAAATGGAGTTAAAAAGACTTTTAGACACCATTTCAGCTATAAGCAAAAAAAAAACCCTTTCAAAATAGTATGACAGTCAACATGAATATTATTACATAATCAAGAATGCATTATTTTTCAATAGCTTAATTCAGATCACACAGTTTCAAACAGTGCTACTCATATTTGGAGCCTGGTTTACTTGGAGGTTAGAGGCATCTGCTTTTATTAAAAAAAAAAAACCAAACCAAACCCAATCAAGGTTTCAAATGAGAATGCAGTGAAATTAGTTTCTTTCAAACTCCTATAATCTGGAAGCAATATGAATACCTATATGTATGTTTTACTGAGTCAATAAAATAAACAAACACATTTGTTCTTCCCCCAGTACCCTCAACTCAAGTAATCAACTTTGCCAGAAATATAGCAGGAGTCAAGAGATAATCACTTAAAAGTAAGACTGGGTTGGCAGCAGGTGATACTCTACCAACCAGCACCACCAGCCTCTACACTTCCCTCATTAATACTCAAGGTATCAGTGATCTAACATACAGGAACTGCAGACTGTCATTCTCAGAGGAATGGAATTCTACTGTACTTACATGAAAAGAATTAGTGGATTAACACATTAAATTAATAATTCTTGCTAAATGGTTGCTGTCCTGTCATGCCCCTGGGTGGTGGAAGCTGCTGCCACTCTATCCTGCCCAGCCTACAAGACATGCCTGCAGCAAGAATCTGGACTCCTGCTTCCAGTTAAATTCTATGAGCAGAACACGCAAGAAATTTGATAAATTTGGTACAATAGCTCACCAAGTCTTCAGAATACTCTGAAAGATGAGTATTTAATAAGCCAGTACCTTTAAAACAAGCTAAGATGTTCTGGGAAAACATGAAGAGAAGACCTACATTTTACAAGCGTGTGAAACGCTTCTACTGTTGTCTAAACAGGGTCAAACATTCTGAACCTAAAGCCATTATTCTTTCACTAAAAGGTAAAAAAAAAAAAATTAAAAAATTCACACACACAAAAAAACCCAACACTACATTTAAGTCTCCTACAATATTAACTATTTCTAGATTTGCCAGACTACTTTCCTGTAATTAGATGCTTGACTATAAAGAACTGTAATAAAATAAATAGAGTAAAAATCAGTTAAAACAAAATCTTGGTGTGTTGAACATTTATTCATGTAAGAAGTTAGCTTCCTTCAACAGTTACTCATACAGAGGAGGGCTGCAGCGTAGGCATTGTTCTGCTGTACAAGTCTTCGGCATAAAAATATTTTTATACAGGTGGTCATTGACGTCGTTCCGTTTCTAGTTCTTAGCTTGCTCCTCTGGAAAACTGGTCTGATACCTGTGAAGGCTTGCTCTTTTCTCCCCTTCATTATTTGGGAAAAAAAAAACCAAAACAGTACATCGATATAATTGCTCAAATGTGGGAGTTAGCATAATTCTGCTTTTATTTCTTCAGTGCAGAGTGGACTGAGGTTCTGTCTGAATTCCGATGAGCGAGGGCGGCTGCTGGCCGCTGCCCGCGGTCAGCACGGGCCGGGGGTTGAGGCGCGGGGGCATGGAGCTGGCTGGGCGGATGAGCGGAGGGGGAGGCTGGTTGAGGGTCGGCCGCGGCTGGATGAAGCGCGCCTGCTGCTGGAGCGGCGGGGGCTGCCGGTGCAGGGCAGGAGCAGCGGGAAGCGCCGGACGGAGTAACGGGGGCGGCTGATTTAGAGTTGCCATGGGAGCGGCAGGTGCTGGAGCAGATGCGTGTGCTGGAGGTGAAGGGCCTAAACACTGAGTGGCCGGAGTGCTTTGTGCCTGCACAAAGGACAAAGACAAGACTGTGTGAACGGCCGTCCCGGCCTGGGCATGACGCGGTTGGGCTGCCACTGGCCACTACACAGGAAACAGCATTTAAAAAAATAAAACCAAAGAACTGAGAAGTTACTGAAAAGAAATCATCAACCAAAACATTACAGACAGCAGAACTAAAAATTTTTACAAAGCAAGTCTTCTTCTAGAACAAGAAGTGTATTTTAACGCTAAAACAGTAACGTGATCGTCACTATCAAAGGTGCAGTCCTGCTCCCGGCTGGTTAACGACATTGGCTGAAGTTCTATGCAAGCTCATCATCATTCTTTAGAATGCGGTTTGCCACTCCACACCAGTTAACCTTATATTTTATCACTAAATAAAATGCTGTTCCTCAACCCATGCTTACTTATTTCTGGTACACAAAACACACCTCATCTTCTTCATCAGTGCTCTTTCCTGATGGCACATTAGAAGTATTTTTTGTGTCCTCCCCTAAAGCAGAAGCATCACCATTAGAAGCCAGGGTTCCTTGTTCCGCTTCCCATTCCTGCAATACCTCCTCTAAGTTAAACCGACGCCTGTAGTTTACAAAGAAGTTCTTCACTTGGCCAACAGTCTTGTTGCCAATTACATCTGCAATAGCTTGAAAATCTTTACCATATTTTCGGACACCTGGAAGGCAAAGTAAATAACATAGCTGTGAAGAATCAGTCAGACACAGCTACGTGTGATGTATTTATAGAGAGAACCTATGGGACCTGCAAACCGAGGACTCGCTAATTAGGAGAACTTCTCAATTAGGAGAAAGCCTCAATTTCCATTAAAAACAAAGTAATTTTTAATAGCACAGCTATCAACATACAAATCAAGAACTTTATTTAAAAAGTCATTACCCATTGTTCGTAAAAGATCCTGGCTTACTCACCAAGCCTCTCAACCTAAAACCACAGAGATCTGGCCTCTGACACACACAGTGAATCTTTCAGCATGTCCACAGTAAGGGCAGAAGCCCAAGACCAGCTCAAGACGGGAGGAAGGGTAACTGAGCATGTGTGAATGGCTGTAAACAGAATAAAGTGCTGGAAATATCAAGTGACAAACACTGATGGCTCCTACAGGTTCCTTCCACACCAGCTGCACGCAGATGGCTCTTTCCCACAGCCAGTGGGGCAGGAGTGGCAGAGGGCAGAACAGGGGGCACAGTTCTGTAATCACAATACACTGCTCATTCCTGCACTTGTGACATGCTCTACTCAGGCTACACAGAGCAACTGCCAAGTGTTCACCTCACAAAGCCTGCTTGAAGCTTTCATTCACCATTCAAACTGGGTAGAAAAATCTGGGGTTTGGGACAACTACCTTGGAGACTGTAAATATATTTAAGCTACTAGTGTCTGCTTATAAGATGGCCCAGCACAAGTCTCCAGTATTAAATCCCCTACTGATAAGCAGCATGACAGGCGATCTTTGCCTTGTTCTTTTCATTAATTTTTGTACTGACAGCAGTAGTCACTTTTGTTTATGAGCACTTTGAAAGAAAATCCCAATATATTTTAAATACTTCTAAAACGACATTTGCATATAACACAAAAAACTAGAGTGCAACACTCCATAGTTTTAACTTATAATTTTTATTCTAATTCAAATTTTATTTATTTTGTTACATTTAGAGTATGTGTCTAATTCTTCCCCTCTCCTGCTTAAAAAAAAAAATCCTCAAATTCTCCCACCTGCCAGAACACAGCTTTTAGCTGCACAAAGTATATTTTTAATTACAAGTGTCAAAAAGTTTGAAGACTTGAATAAATAAACCAATTTTGTTCCAGAGTGAATAAACAGAAGATTTTTTTTTTGCTGTCAGTTATGCATGAGCAGATTACAATTTGACTTCTCCTGTGAATGTCCTGATAGTTAAACTCATTTGGAACATATTACAGTTCTTAGAGGACAGGCATCCTTTCTCATTACAGGAAAAGAAATTTATGCCTGCTTTCACGCCTCACTTCAGAAAATGAAGCAAAGTGTTCAGAAAGTGAGAGTTGTTTCAAATCTGAAAGCTGTGTTCCTTTTCAACTTAATTGTTAAGAGTGTGACCTTCAGTTTGTTCTGTTCCTTTCTACTTTCCTTGTTATTAGGCACTTCTGATGCGGTAATGTACACTCAGTGCAATTTAAAAGAAAAGTTCACCTCCAGGATAGTAACAAATTCTGTAGCTGAAGCTGTTGTTTCAGCTGTCAGGAGCCCAGCTACATTATTTAGTATCTTCTTCTGGGGAGTACAAAAGAACACAACCCTCCTGATTGCGGGAACCTTGGAAAGATTTCAGAGCCACGTGGGAGGGCATGGATCCAGGCAAAGCAAAGACAGGGATTTGGCTCTGTGCATTATCAGCTGTACAAGGTAACAGCTACACTCCTTCAAAGCTGTGTGTGCCCACAGAACACTGCCTCCAGTATTTTAGTATTCTTTGTCTGCCCTACCATTACCACCCTTACTAATTTATAATGAACATGAAACATCCACTGCAATATATCTAACATCCTGTACAATTAATCAAGTGAACAAGATGCTCAACAGAACAAAGCACATTTCTGTTATATAGACTTTTTGTGATTTCAGCCTTTTCTGTTACTATGCTGGCTACACTTCTTTCCCCCCTAATCTACAAAACAACTGAGCCTGCTGGTTATCTTCAACTCAAGTTGTCAAAAAAAAAAAAAAGTCTTGAAAGCCTATTTCCAAGCAAACAGCTTGAAAACAAGGCACACTTGTCTTCACTAAGAACCCAACTCTTAAAAAAAAATCTAAATAAAATACAATTTCCTTAGTTTAGCTACACAGAGCACTATTCACTTTGGATTCTCTTCAATGTTATTACTACTGTTCTACCACAATGATGTATTAAAAGCCTTTCAAGCCACGTAAGAAATAGAGAAAATTCACTGTGTACTTCTAAAACTTTAATGTATAAGGTGATGGCATATCTCCAAGAGTTGTTGCCAAGTCACCATCCCTGTCAAACTAGTGCAAATTTCTTATGCATCCTTATACAAATTCATCCCCAAATTATTTCACATCTTCAATCCGTTATTCAGTAATTTTATTAGGCTGATGAAAGTGAAGCTCAAAAAGGACGACTGCACAGCCTCACTTCCCATGTATGAATGGTTTTCTCCCAGCTCATGTGAAAGCAGCCCAGCTCACAGGAATCCTTCAAGCTCTTCAGAACTTCATCCAGCTGCAAAGGATTAGCTGCTCTTGATTACAGCATTTCACCTTGAATGTCTCTCTTGGAGAAACCCAAATCCAAGTTTGATGCTGTTTACATTGCTTCATATTGTACAGCACAGCAAACACAATATTAATCAGGGTGCAAAGCAATATGATACAGCACCACAATGAGGCAGAAATAGTTAATGGGAGCTGCAGTTCCACTGTGATAGGATTACAGTGCTCCTGGCAACTACCTTATGTAGAGTTAGATCCCAATTGTCCCAATTGTTTTTCCCTGCAATGCCATGAAAATCATGCACTGCTTTTCAATGCAAATGTTGTTGTCCTTATCACGTGTTAAAACATTGTTGCAATTGCAGTTTTATGGCCAAGATCTTAGTTTGAAAATATGACCATGCTTATACATTTCTGTACGTAAGAGTTTGTAATTTAAGAACACTAATTGATGAACTAACCCATTACATTCAACAACTATTCAAAGCTGAACTGTTAACTGATAAATATACTGCAAATGTATTGGCTCAGAGATTGTAAATCTGAGTCCATAACCCTATTGCAGGCACCTACACTACTTTTAAGATTACATACAGCTCTGTTTTCAGATAGGTTTTCTCATTACTTCTACCTTAGTAACTGGCAATCCCTCGAGATTAGCCTGCAGATAACAAGTTGTTTCATGTTTTCAAAAAACAGTACCAAAATTATATTACTGCAGACTATATTTACAATTTCCATGGTTATTGTCCAAATTCAAGTGAACAAGTCATGTAAGTGCCACCTACCTGCTTAATGCTTGTGATTTCTGTAAAATTATTAAAAGCATATGCCAAAATGTACCAATACATTTAATGAATTAAACCCATTTTAAAGTATACAAACTAAATGTCCCATGTTCAAGTCAACTTTCAAGTCCAAGCCTAATGCATGTTATGGAAATTTCTAGTAGAGCAACTGTGACTACCTTCTAAAAACCAAGCCAGAAAAAAACACAGCATGGCTGCCTCATGCCTAGAGTCTACTACAGTCCTCAAGCAATTACTTTGAAGCAAGAAATCAGGGTCCTTAGTCTGAGGGATGGGAAGTTAATACTTAGAGCACTCTCGTTCTAGGAGAGAGAGCAAGCAGTAAGGGAGGGATAATTAGAACACTTTGTTTTTGTCATTAAGATTCTCTCCCATCTCCATTTTATATAGTAACAAGGGAAAGGGTCTACAGAGGAAACAACACATATAAGAAGCACATGCCAATGAAAATAGATTTATTCCAGAAAACCAGATTTCTCACCCCACCCTAATGCTGACTACCTTTATAAAACACAGAACCATCCCTAGGGACAAGAAGACTGGCTCTCCTCTCCAAGGAGTCACCACCAACCCTCACCCTTCTTTTGCTCAGGCTCTACTTTATTTGTCTTGTTGGTCACAAAGTGTCATAGCTTCACAAAAAACCAACTGTATTCTTATCAGTCCCCAAATTGTTGCTTAGAGAGAACTCCAATAACTAAACTATGAAAAAGCAAAGTGGTTTGAATCCTTTCATTCTAAGGCAGGCACAATGACCCTGGATTTTACCCACTCTTCCAGCAAGCCTTTTACTTACTAGCCTATCACACTAGAGACATCTCCTTCAGTTGCAACTGGGAACAAAATACAGAAGTATTTAGCAATAGTGAGAGAATGAACTTAGGACAGAGGACAGTTTGGAGATGCAAATCCAAGCCTGAAGCATGCAAATTGAGAGGCATGATTTAAGAAACACCATGTCTTTCTGCATTTCCATACATAATTCAAAATAACCTCACTTTAGGTTCAGTCATCTGACTAATAAGTACCAGGTATGGCATACCTGACAACTTCACACTGATATCCTGATCCACTGAATATTTTATACTAACACTCACTCTCTCATTTTCAAGGTGAAGAATACAGAGGAATAAAGAAGATAGATATAACTGAGCTATTATCTTTATAAATGATCCACATAAGTGAGTCAATATATGCCTTCAAAACAGCATCTCCAGGTATTTCCCTTACATGTGCCTTGATTCGGCAGAGCAGCTAATACAAGAGTCAGCTTTCCTTCACATAAATGAAAGAAATGCAAAATAGCTGTACGAATAGCTTACCAGAAAATGCTCGGGTTTTAGCCCAGTAAGACTGTTAGTCAAGCACCCATATCCAGCTTCACTCTTAAAAGGCATAATGGGTAGATACCTGCCCATTATTCCCTCATGAACAGAGAAAAGCAACAGTAAAGCAGACTGACTTCTGTTTTTTCCTTCCTTAGGATACTGGAGATGTCTTAAAAGCTTCAAATTCTATTACTTTAACTATTGCTTTAGTCTTTCACATTAGAGAAATTAATGTAAAGTGATTTAGAAGATGATTGAAGGGACTTTCTGGTACTAATACAGTTGTTAAATCCTGCTTAACTTTTCTCTTTAAAATTTAACATGGGTAACAGAAAGCCTAGTGTCGTGTTGCTTGAATAAATGCCCTAAACAGACTCAATAGTTTTGCTGTTTTCCAGGTGACCAGATAAAGTTTAGCTTTGTATTTGAGGGAAGTACAAACATAAGCTAATCATCTCTTCAAATCCTTTGCATGAGATTTCAACTTGCTGCTACTATTAACATACCTTGTACTGCAAGAAGCTGCTCTTCTGTGGTCCAACGGGCATTGATTTTCTGATTAGACTATTAAAATTAGAAAAATGGCACAAAGATCATTAAATTGTTTCAACGGCTGCAAAATATCTGAGCATCAATGTGTTTTACTTGCACTACTGTTTGCAAAATAGGTAAAAACCTCTTGCTTATAAGCCATAAATTTACAGTTTAAGACTGTTTTCATGCAGAGGAAATGGTGTTTACAGATTTAAGCTTAAAATTATGCCAGCAGTTTTTCCTCTGTTTTATTGCAATTCTTAGTATCAGCTATATAATAACTTATGCACAAGCTAATGATCTTTATGCAGAGAGAATTTGAATTTATAGTAAACATTTATCTAAACTATTTGGACTTGGTGTTTAGAGTATTTTGCATTCATGTTATGTTTCATATCCAAGCCTTTAAAACAAGAATTTTAAAACAAAATCTAGAACTTCAGTAGTAATAGAGCATTCATTTTAGATGCCAAAATGTATATATAGTCATGTTTTCACACAGAACACCATTTATTACTGGCAATCTACATTATCTATTTTTAATCCAAAAAGCCCCCATGTATCAGGGCTCAATTTCAGCTCCCTATTATTGTGAGCAGACATGACATTTCAGTTTTTTCTGCTTCTTTTTCAACCAGTTGCCATAAAAAAGCGCCTACTACGATTTCTTGTAAAGAAGCCAGACTCCCCCTGCATGTAATTTAATGGATCCTGTTTAAGCTGCTGCTGAAGTGCAAACACTAAACTGTAGCAAAACACATTTCTGCAGCTTCCCACTAATTTAAGTGCAAGGCTAGAAGTTTCAGTATTTACAGTATTTATTCTGATTTACCTCAGGAGGTTTGAATTCTTCAATCCCGCCTTCCATTTTCTGTTTAAGTGCACTGTTTACTTGCTTAGCATTTTGAACCTTGGTCAAAAACAACAAAGTTAATCAGCTCCACAAAGAAAGTTGGTCACTTTACACATTTATCTTCACTAGGATTGCCACAAGTGTACCTCCTAAGTTAAAAAGAGAAATATTATGGTTTAAGGCTTCACTACTTTTAAGTGTTTAAAAAAAACTTTTAAAAACAAAAAAAACCCAAAAAAACCCCATCAGTTAACTATAGAGAAAAAACCCCAAAACTAAGCCAGTCTTTCAAAAGAACAGTTTGTTTGCAAGAATATTAAAAGCTGTTCATAAATAAGTAATTTTTGATAAGGATGCATAGGTTCTTGAAGAATTAAGAATACTCTAGACACAAAACTTCATTCTTAGACATGTGAGATGTATTGCATATATTAACTTATTAACTTCTTCTAAAAAAAAAATTCATGAGATGTTTCCAGTTGGTTCCTTCTGACAGATGCTTTTTGTTGACCTGAGATCATTCTAATTTAATTAGGGGGGATTCTTGAAATTATTTTAAATATTTCTTAGTTTATAAAGAAGACAGACTTTCCAAATTGTACACATACACATCTATGAACCACTTAATCTGACACTGATGCACATAAGAATACAGGTAAGAAAATAGTTTTGCATACTATGGTGCACAGCTATTACAAGGGCTCTTAAGTATGGACACAAAAGCAGACAACTCAGTGGGAGATTCCAAAGGCTGCATCTCTGAGATCACTGCAAGAAAAGAAAAAAAAAAAAAAAAAGAAAAAAAAAAAAGAGAAACACAACCTGAGGGCTGACACTCACCTACACTTAGGCTAAAGAGTGAAACCCACCTATGCTATTTAGCCCCAGAGTCCTGCTGTGACAGAAAGAAGCTTATTTCTCCTGTAAAAGAACATAAGGGAGCAAAAACCCCATGAAAAAACCCTTTATTCACTCCATGATTTTGCAACATGGCAGCTCTATAAGGAGGTAAAAATTCCAGAAGATAAGCCTTGACTCTGTAGCCCCATCACTCCTAGAAAGCAAGCATGCAATTAACTACCGTACCCTTAGAAGCTGAATAATTATATGTTTCAACTTTAAATGCCAAAATTTAATTTATTCATGCAAAGGACGCAGGCACTTTTCCTCTTAAAAGTGAAGACTAAAAAGCTTTTCTAAATTTAATAAGAAGTAGAAAACTTATCAATTCAAACAGAGAAATAACTAGGTCCACGATTTCCACAGGTCTCATACTTCCATAATATGTGGGAAAGGACATCCAGAAAAACAGCTACAATTTAAAGCATAACAAATGTAACTTCCTCTGCTCCATTGGTCTCATTTTTGATTTTCAAATGAAGACTTCTAACAAAGTAAAAAAAAAAATTCAAATCAAAGGTAACTTTGATTTTTCCTGTCCCCAAATCTGTAGCAATGCTTTAATACCCTTTTTTAAAAGTAAGTACAAAGTAATCTCGATTCATTTTATCCAAAAGAGCAGATGAACGTAAAAAAACAAAGCTGAAGAACAGCTACTATCCAGCATTTGTGGTGATAACTGTGGAACAAAACAAGGAAGACTCACATTAAAGAAGTTTCAGAATCTTCACAGACAATCTTCAAAACCATTACAATCAGAACAATCTGAGATGAAAAAAAAAAAAAAAACCAAGACCAATAACCCATGGTACCTGTCGCTTTAATGAGATTAGTTCCATATCCAGCTGTCTAAGAATTGTGTTGGCTGCATTGGGACTACAGGAAACAGCTATCACATCTTCCTGGGTCAGGTACATGCCTTTTGGTGGACGGCATTTGGAACGCTGGGAATGGTGGCGATGCTGCAAGCTCTGATACTCTCTTCTACCCAGACCTATTTTGCTGGTCTGAACAGGCTGCTCATTATTGCCCTTTAATTTACAAGAAATAAATCATTAAAGAATAACAGTATCTTGTATACAATTTTACTAAAAAGAACGAAGTATCAGATAGCACTGTAATGTCATATTTATGACAAACAAAACTTAAGCTAACATCCTCCTTTGCATGTAGTATCCAACTTGCAGATGAGTTGATGGAGCATACCAGTCATCTGCTGGATAAGCCTGCATTGCTCTAAGAAAGGCCAGTTTTCAAAACTTTTTTTTAATATGGCCACAAATGCAGTAAATGTTAAGGAAATCCCAGTCTGAATACTGTGACAGAGGGCAAACATTGTGGACCTCTTACATATACAGAAGGTAAGTAATAGACATGTATGTATCCTGTTTTTAAAACAAATAATCAGTGACTTCACACATTTTTCTGATCAGATATGAAGAATTTGGGAAAATATTAAAGGAGAAGAATGAGAAAGTCAACTAGGCCAGGCAAGAATGCAAAATTACATGTCTCCCTGCTGTAAGCACTCTCCAGAAAGAGACTGCAGTTTGGTTCGGGGGGATGGGGAGGAGATGGTCTGAGATTTGGAAGGGAGAGTATGGACATACCCTGCAGTCATTATAAAAATCTATGCAATTTAGAAAGCATGGGCCTTAGTTATTTGCATCTTTGGAAAGGAAAGGAATGGCAAAGAGGAAATTAAGCTTTTGTTTTGGTATGTTTGGGCACCTAAACACTTTCTGCCTGTATGTGACTCCCTCAGAGCAACTGAGTAGTTTCCCTATAGCCCAGGAGCAGAGACACAAAAATTACTTTATCTGCAATGACATTTTAATTCAAAGGAATGCTTAGTACCAGAACAGAAAGAGAATTCAGGCTTTTCCCTACTTCAAGCAGCTCCCTACTGCTCCTCCCTGCTGGCACCCATGCATGTTAAGAGGAGGTGGTCATTTGATCACAGTGACTGCAAAACCAAGTGCAGCAGCCGTTATTATTATCATTATTACTATTTTCTGTAGTAGTAGTGCAGAGCAGCAGTCTTGTTTTACTATGCTTGACCTTGTGCCACAGTCTCTTCCCCAGCTAATGTAACTTCTTAATCCAGCCCACAGACTTCATAGAGGCCACCTTAAAACCACTTAAGATATGTGCTCTTCCTTGGAAAATTGATGTAAAGCCTTACATCTTTAACATGTAAAAAATTCAAAGTTAAGTTTATTTCTGACCTGTTTATACTTATTTGGGTTTTGGTTCTGCATTGCTCTTTCAGTATGAAATTGCAGTTCCTGTGTGTTCAATCTGGATTTAAAGTGAAAATATTCTCTCATAATTTTGTCTTGCCAAGATAGAGAGCTTAGGTTATATTTGTTTTATCTGGTAACAGAAAGTTTCCATTGCTCTGTGTGCTCAAGCAGCCTACTCAGTTTATATTCTGCTTAGGAAGTGAAAGTACGCAAATCCTACCAGAACTATTAGATCACAAAATTATCCTGTGCAGATCCAAATAGCTCATCAGAAACTACAAACCTATTTGTCCTTTTCCTAGAAGTCTATCAACACACTACTTGCATTCTGGACTGCATGTCATGATTCAAACTACAACCAAGTAAATTTAGCAAAATAGCCATTTTTTAGACATGGCTAAGGCAGCAATTCCAATCATTAGATTGCAGGGACATTGTTAGAACAGTGAGAAGTAAAAAGGTACATTATCAGACCATGTGACGTTGTAAGTGCTATAAAACATCCCCATGTTTAAAAGTAATCTCAAACTCTTTCACTGAAAGGGATAATTGTCCTTTTTTTTCCCCCAAGGCCAGTAGATAAAGGAATACATTGAAGGTCACTGCAAAGCTCAGAACAGAAGCTAAACTTCTCAGTCTCTTATTCAATATTATTTTCATGAAAAGTGCAAAGTTTTATTCATAATCCTAGATATCATTGCATGGGAGTGCTGAAGTTTTGCATAACCTCTCCTCTCACTCTTGAGAAGCATTAACTGTCTGATTTAGAAAGATCACCAAGGCTTAAAGTTGATCAGAGAAACAATTAAACACTTAAATGTGGTTTTTCTAGTCTTGTTCATAGATAGTTTGATGTTTACAACAAGAACTCAAACAAGCCCTAAAACCTGAACATACCCTGAACAGCAGTCATCTGTAAAGCTAGCAGTAAGTGCTCATTAGGACAAAATGTTTTTCCTCTACATTTATTAGTAGGAAGCATCTGAGTAAAATCACATATTAGTTGAAAATGCATCACCTCCATTGTGGCTTTGAACAAACAACAAAAGTTGTTCTTTGAAAAATGTAATTTAATTTTAAAATTCAAAGAAATCATTTTGATTCACAACCAGTAAAACTGTAAACATGCTAACAAGACTGAAGGAGGGCAAATACAACCTGTTTTACTAGGTTGTGAGAAGATACAGCTCTTACAAAACTTGGAGCTCTCTCAGGGCACGGTGGAGGTAATGAGAGATGCAATTACAGCCACAAAATGGCAAAAATATAGGATACAATTTTGTTTCAATGAGAAGACATCAAGACCTTGACTACTTAAAGACCCTGAGAGCTGGGCAGGCTGAAACCTAAACCTCTGTACTACAACTCACTCTTCACAGTAACACATTCACTGAAAACGAACAAACTGACATTCACCATTAAGTTATCTGTTACCTCCTTTTTGGCTTCTTTTTTGGGATCATAATCACTATCATTTCCATCCATTGGATGAGCTTCTTCTACGTCATCATCACTAAAGACAGATTATGAAAAAGCTGGTCACTTTATTACTTTTTAAACTCAAGTAAAAATATGCACCAGGATAAGAGTTATCTACTTGAATTTATCTATTTTGAGTATATGGCATCTCAGTTATTTGTAGTTTTCAAAAGACAGCTGTTATAAGCATGATTTTCTGTATTAAAGTCTAGTATTATGATAAACAAGCAAACCTAAACCACAGTTTCAAAGTTACTTTAAGCAGTGCTGGTACTGCTGCCAAGAATTTTGGTGTCGCCTTTCTTAAGTTCAACCACTTGTGCCAGCATGAACACTTACGTGGCCAACTATATACCAAGGCTAGAAATAACCTTTCATTTGCCCCATTAGTTTAATAGACCAATTTTCAAATCACTGAATAAACCCTTGCTGAAGTTTGTGGAGAGCATAGGGCATATGATGGGAAAACACAGGACTGCTTTTTCACCAACGTGCTTAAAATCTAGCAATTTAGGGGAGGGAAATTAAATCTGCTGAATTAAATCAGAGAAAAGGTTAAAAAGAAAACAGTCAATTTGGAGCCAAATCCAGTCATTCTGACAATATAATTTGTGAATAAATTAATGCAAAAACAAACTAAAATTTCTAGTTATTACAAAACCCCTCCTAACAGCTGTATTAAAAGCAAACTAATTTTAGCTTGCAATTTTTTTCAGAAATAGGATCACTAAATAAGCATTTGAACTTTAGATTTCAGAAGTTATTGAAAATAACATAAAATTAAAGACTCCTTTTGCTCCAGTTAAGTAATTTTCTATAGATATTAAATTACAGTTTCCAATATAAACATAGATGATGTTACTTATACATGCAACACATATCACCTTTTAAAAAGTGCAAGTTAATTATTAAGTATACTGAGCACAATAAAATTTTAATTTCATAGTAACTGTGAGAAATAGTATTCCCTTCTATACAAGACAACAAAACTACTCTGAGCTCTAATTCTCTCTGATAGCAGTTCTAAGTCTCCTAAAAAATATTTTATATAAATTTTTGTTATAAAACAATGCATAGGCATTGTAACTGCTTCAGCTCTTTATAGTGGTTGCACTTTCAGTTGTAGTTCCATATTAGCTCAAAAATTCAAACAAAGAAACAATTCCAACCCCCCCCCCCCCACACCCACAAAATCATCCTGCACAGACAGTAATAGATTTCAGGGTTTAAATCCTTGTTTTTACAGTTATCCATTTAAACACTCCCATCTCCTATTACAACTCACACAGACTGGAGTGATAAAGTTCTTAAAGCACAGGTACCAAACCTCTTGCTAAAATCAGAGCTATCACAACACAAGTTAAAACCTGAAACACATGGTTCACATTGGAACAATGGCTAGAAATTACACCACATCTCTACTTAGGAATATTTCAGTCTCTGGTGGCTACTAAAGAACATAAAACTCACCTGTCACCTTGATTATTTCTATTAGCTAGTTTACGAGCCTGACGATCCATCAAACTTGTCCTAGAGCGAGTTTTTTTCCAAGAATAGTAATATTTTACAAGGCTTGCAATGGTCTTGTCTGGGAGCTAGAAGAATTCATCAACAGATTAACACTTCTAAAATTTAAAATTCCACCCAGAATTATATTTCTGCTCTGTTTATAACCATCTTTAAACAATATTTAAAATGCATTGTTAAGATTGAAAGGAGGGATGTATCTCATACACATCTTTAAAAAGGGGAGAAGGCTTCTTTTCATTAGAGTGAAAAAGCTGTATGTCCAAGAGACATGATGAAATCAAATTAAATCTTATATTCAAGGTTCTTCCTGAAGCTTTTACACAGAAATCAACATGAAATTTCAGCCCAACAGGAGCCTTTCTTCTTAGTGCATCTGAACTATTTAATGATTCTGATTAAAATATTACTTTACCATTTGCTGGATCCTGTGAAAGCTCTTTCCATGGAAGCTAAATGCTTGCTCAAATAGGACTTTATCTTCAACTGTCCATTCATCAGGGAAAGGAGTGAAGTTAGGGAGATCCGCAAGGGACTTCTCAATATTGTGTTTATGCCAGAACAACATTCCGAGAGCCTTTGAAAAGAAACAAGTCCCTCTTTGGATTTAGTCAATTTTCTTAAATGTTGAGACAAGTTAAATAAAAACAGGCAATTTACTTGTTTGAAATAAAATTTGACTATCAGAATCCCTTCTCAAAATGTATTTACAATTTTATTGACTATTTACTATAGATTAAAAAATTCTCTTTGGAGACAGTGGGCACATCTATACTTTTTTAATGGTATGAAAGCCAGACAATTTAAGGTTGGCATGGCAGCAGTAATTCTAGAGCAGCATGAGCTAGGCTGAGAGGCTCAAATCTGACCTGCTTTCTTACTTTACGGGCATATATCACCTACACAGTTCCCTACAGGCCTTTATTACCAGCCCACTCAAGAAAGAAAATAAAAATACTTTTTAGTAGCCAGAGGATCATCCAAAATGCAAGTCTGTAAGTTCAAAGTGAGAGTGGTCTTTTTACAACTCTCCAATCCACAAATAGCAGCATGGCCACTTCATCACATGCACCTAATAAGGAATGGAAATTTAAATGTACTTTCTTATATAATTCAATTTCTCAATAGTCTAAAACAATTTTAAGTTCATTGGACCAGAGAATCACAGGCAGATTTGATGCCAAGATTTGGGCATGAGAATTGGGCAATGTAATCCACTCAGTTTCACTCATACAGCACAGACACAATCACCAGGCATCTCTCCAAACTCCTGATTTCACATCTTCCAACAACCTGGACACAGCAAACCTCTGCTCTTGTTAAAATGGCAAGTGACAAGCACCTCTCGCAAAGAGAATTTCTATTCCACTGTGAGGAGTCTACAAATGTTTTGTACCAGAAGTTATTTTGGAAATCCATCTCTTGGAGACTTGAGATCCATCAGTTCCTCCTCTTGCCTAACAGAAGTCAAGGAATAAAGAAATAACACCAAACCCCAGATATATTCTGAACATTGTAACACTGGCAGCCTCTTAGGCAGACTGCAGTTAATGAGCAAGCTTCCATCTTCTGAAACCTGACCATATATCTTCTTTTCAATTGTACAGAATTTTTTTTCAAAAAGTAATGTCACTTTTACATATATTGGTTAATTTATGACGAATTTGGAGACAGAATTACATGCAGACCAGCAAAGTTTTATCCTTACTTTTTAAGGAATGGTGATCAAAGGCTGTTAAATAAAAAGTGAAATTGTTTGTTACTTTTGGAGCTAAAACTTGAATCTGTTCTCCTGCCTCTGAAAAAACCCACTCAATTGAGGTTGGTTTGTGAGTATTTTTCAATATGAAAGAAACCTTTTCAGTGCCATCCCTATCAATTAATGGTTCAAAATTGTACCATATTTGCATTCCAATGTTAAACTTGAAATTTGTAAGCTGCTTCCCTAAGAAACTCTTTAGCTAAATATACACACACAATTGCATGACATGCCCAGTGTATCAAGAAACATACCAAACCTTTCAAAAGTGCACATTACAAGCTGAGCATGTCATGAAAACAAAGAGCTCAATCTTTTGCAGAGAATCCAGACCACAACTGTATGCAGATCCATTTAACTGCAGTGTTTGCTGCCGTGCCTGAAGAGAAACAGCGTTAATTAATGGTAACCAAGGGGAAAAATAAGACTTGTGTTATAGTTTTTTATTTTTAAAAAATCGTTTAAATGAGCACTCTCATTCCACAGCACTTACCTGTTCCACATTGTATCCATGTTTTTCCTTTGCTATTGCTATATATTCATCCACTGTAACAAAGCAATGTCAGAATTACTCTTTAATACTTTTAGCTCTGCTCTATGACAGAATTAGCCATCTAACATGTGAAAAGTTTCCCCATGCTTTAACACACTGCATAGTCCCAGATCCCCCAAAATGTTAAATATACTCACAGCTTTATTAATAATAAATAAACCCACTGACCATTATTGAACATTCAATTTTATAAACTTTTTACACAAGCTAATTCTGCTTTCTTTCACATTTTTACTACAACAAAACCACAGAGGCTCATAATTTATTTATTTAAAGCAGAGACTAGCTGGTTATTGAAAGGCTATGCCTTTTTGGAACCCCCTCCTGCATTAGTTTTAAAGTGAACTACTTCTACTGCTTGTATTCCCAAACATATTGAAAATTAAAGCAAGGAGATCCTATATCAATGATTATGTATATCCTCCAGATTACTATAGCTTTCACTGACCAGTATTGATTTTAACTATGACACAAAGTCAGTTTTCAATAGAAAGTAAGAAAAATCAATAATTAGATAACAAAATTAAGGAATAACATTTTAAAACCATATTTAGAAATAACAGCCAGCTTTGAGTTGAACACTTTTCATAACTTTGACATTAAGTTCCACTTCATTACTTTTAAAAAAAAACCTTTTCCAGTTCACCTTCTTGAGTTCAAAATTAAGTGGCAACTAAATAGTTGAAAGGAAGTAAGATCAAGAAAAGGAAATAATTGTATCCTCCTTCTTCAAATGGACAAGGGATATCCTTGCCATGCACTGTTGCTGCAAAAAGTTAATTATACTTTAAAGGAATGAAAAAAGCATTTAATAATAATACTGGTATTTTATTTCTAACTGTTCTGCAGTATTTGAAGGTGCATTCCCTCAAACACAGAGGGACACAAATCTGTAATTACTGGTATTAGATAGAAACTGTCCTGAGGATGAGGTTCTCATGGCTGTTACATATGGGAAATTCTAGTAAAGGAGACGGGTTTAAACTAGCTTAAATGGATAACTGATCATATTTAATCAGATGACTCCTGTATTTCAGGTCCCTCCTAAAGGGAAAAAATGTTTGGTTTTTCCTTCTGTGACAGCAGTAATAATTTCCCCTTGAAGTGGGCCTCAACAAATCTTTTCTAAACTCATCCATTGCAACTCCTTCTCCTAGGAATTTAAAGCAGCAAGTTCCTCATGTTCAGATATATTATTCTTTTATTAATAACAAAAGGTTTCACAGACAATGATGATGATAATCAAAATAGGCAGTATGATCTGAAACAGACTTTACTAACATAAAAGATCATCTTTGCTTTACCTGTTCTCTTAATAAAGAAAAATCTTTGTGTTTAATTATTTGCAGTTTCACTATGTGTAAAATAAAGAGCAAACAGGCCCACCAGAAACAATTATTTAGCTTACTTAAGCACCCAAATTCCTAAGCAGGCAAGGACTTACACTTGGCATCAGGAATATTATGATATGGAGACCATACAAGCATCCCTCCATTATCTTTATCAGTGTATTTTATGGCACCTGTAAGAAAACAAGTAACTCTCAATATTTGTTTAATAACTATGATCTAGAGAACTATGTGACAGTAAGCAAAAGCCAACCACAGTTAGAAGTCCAGTGACTAAGGAGAGAGAGGGAAAAGCCATTCATTCATAATTAATTCCTTAAGACATCAAATGGCTGAATCTGAACACTACTCTTAGGATGTTCAAGTATAACTAAATATTAGACAGTATCCTGGTTACCACAATTAAACCACTGAAGTGCATTGCTTCAGTTGGAAGGAATCTTATCTAGTTCCAAACCTCCTTCCATGGGCAGGGACACCTTCCACTTGACCAGGCTGCTCAATGCCTCACCCAGCCTGGCCTTGAGCACTTCCAGGGAAGGGGGATCCGCAGCTTCTCTGAGCAACCTCTGCCAGTGCCTCACCATCCCATAGTGAGGAATTTCTTCCTCATATATGACTCTACCCCCTGTGAAGTTGGCAAAGATGCAGCTTTGCTCTCCTGAAGTTTGATTGTCCCTTAGTGCTCTAACATTTACCACTACCATAGGAGTACTAGGACCTACTGTGGTCAGTTAGGTTTCATTAAAACAAACAAACAAAAATAGTCAAGAGCTAGAATTCAGTCGCCATCCATGATCCCTTTCAACAGGAAACTATACTAACAACTTTGCCAGAAACCATTCTGTTAATCTCTTTAGTTTTGATTTTGCTAATTTTCTAATTTTAATATTCATAACCAACCAAATAGCACAGCTGTAGAAAGCAGTTAGACATAAAGGTAATTTTTGGTTTTGATTTGTTTACCCCCCACCTCAATGTAGCAAGGGAAGCAGTACAAATTACACAACCCATCAGGACAGGGCAGTACTGATGCAAACACTGAAGCACTAAATCAGAGCATATGATTTTTGAAAACATGCTGTAAAATAAAACTCCATGATACTGTAAAAGCATTAATTCAGAGTCACTTTCCATTACTATTTCACAAATGTAGTCTAAAACATAAAGCCCCTTACAATCTATTTGTTTACAACAGTTTATCTCACTAAGAAATTGCCCAACAATTGGATTTATACCTAATGTCAGTATGAATTTCTTGAGTAATCACCCTCAGAAGAACTATCCTTGCATCCTTCTTGGAGAAGAACAGCTTTTTTTATTTTTCACTCCATTTTAAGCTCATGCACTTTATATTTAGGCTCTATATCTTGTTTGAAGCAAACAAAAAAATCAAACCCAGTGCATTGGAAAAAAGAACAGTGTAGTGCTTTCCCTTTATGTACTATGTTTGTTGCTCTTCACTCTTCAGTTTGGCAGTGTTTTGTATTTCCTATCATCTCTGCAATCTTGATCCATCACAACTGTGAACTTGAAAACAGTTAATTAAAGAACCCCTGTGCCTTTTCAAAATGAGATGTGTAAGGCAGATAACTTCAATGCAGTATAAGCTCTACAACAGGTTAAGAATGTACATGTACTCATAAAGCACCAGTTTCAAGGCATAAGCACTACTAAACTCCGAAAGGTTTTTGGTATACAAGAATGAACTCCTTAATATAACATTCCACTTTAAAACAAAACAGCGTGACATTATTACTCATTAGGAATGCAAGATTTCATGAGGAGCAGGGCAAGCGTGTTACAGGCACATTTCTCTTGTCACAAGTAAATTAGCACTATCCTGCATTTCATTCTAAATAAAGATGAGGAGAAAGCAGGACCACCAGAGCATGTATTAGAATCTCAGGTTATGAGGAAAAAATTTCTAAAGATACCTGCAGACTACTGGATACCATGGATATTATCAGATACTGAATACTCAAGTACTAAAGCAAAAAAAAAAAAAAAAAATTAGTTTCTGAGTTCTTGTGCCTGCAGGAGATCATGTGTGTGGTGACGTTCCCCTAATGAGGTGCCACCCTCACGTGACAAAGGAACGACCACCAGAACATCCCTTTTCAAAGCAGTGCTGCGTCCCCAACAGGAATCAGACATCTGCATCCATTCAGGTGGCACCTCCAGACTGCCAAAAGAAAAGCCAGGATGACAAAGGAATAGTAAGATGTAACAGGTAGCTTGAAGAAAGGCACCTTGCCATCAGCACAGAATGTCCCTAGCTGTAGGACAGGGATCCCTCCATCTCTGATGCCTTGAGAGGCTGATCTGGAACAAAGACTAAACAGAGTTGAAAGAATAAAGTAGGTATTTATTAAAAGGCCTTAAAAGGCTACACCTTGGGTAGTACGAGAGGCCAGCCAGGGCTACACCCAAGATGGACCCAAAAGGGTCGCAAGAAGTATGACCGGTCACAAAGTTTCCCACTTTATAAGTTTTGGTCCATTTATATATTGGGGTTAATTATCCAATTACAGCTTCAGGTTATGAAGTCCCATCCTCCCTGTTTGCTCTCTTCAATTGCTGTTTATGCTTTATGGGCCTAAAGCTTGTAACAGCTGGCCTTGGCTCTCAAGCTGGAAAAGGATTGTTTGGTCTAGCTACCCCGAGAAGAGAACTTACTAACATTTAATATAAAGCTCAGAGCTACACACCAAGGCAGTACAGAATCTGAGAAATAGGAAAACTAAAACTTAAGGCATCATCACTATACGCAGGACCATGACCTACCTTCCTGGGAACTTTCTGCATGCCCTTTATGCCCCAAACACTCAAGCAAGCAGCCCTAACCCCCAAAGATGCTGAGTTACACCTCGAGGACATCAGCTTTTTTACAAGGGAAGGGGGCTGGAAATACCCTGCAACATGTTAACCAAAGTGTGTTAGAAGACTTGTAAGCCAGTAAGGAAGTGAAGCACCAAGAGCTACATCTGAAGAAGAACAAGTCTACCTCTCCCCAAAACGCACCTCCAAGCCACTGAGGAAGAGGCTTCTGCACTTCAGCTGCTGCACCCCTCTGCCAGTGCCAGTTAGGAAATGCAGCCAGCTGAAGATGACCAACAGGCATTCTGCACAACTTCCAGAACAGGGAAATCATAGCAGCAAACTGACCCTCTCTAGAGTGCAGCTTCACATTAGAAGTTCGGTATGCACAGCTGGCACAGCCCTATGCAGGATTCCAGGTACTGAGAATAAAGTGAGCATCCAGAAGCATACAAGACACAGGGAGGGCATTGTGGGGCAGCATGGCAATTTAAAAGTATGTTGGTTTCCAGCAGAAAATGTACTTTCCTCTGCTTAAGACTAAGCCTTGCCCACACCATTTAATAATTTCAAATTTAAAAAGCCTGTTTTCCTATTAGAAGACTAAAAAAGTTCTAAAGACATACAGACAAATGCATTCCTAAGTGACCTTAAATGGTATAAAATATTCTTGACAGCCCCAACTCCATCCCTGAAACAAGAGGGTAAATAAGAAGTATTTCAGCATTAAGTAAGTAAAATTAATACTAAAACCATTGTGAAGTCTAAATCTGAGTGGAATAAAACTTCTCTAGCAGTTATCTGTGGATGACACAACAGGGTGGTGCATTCTGTACCTTGATTTCCAAAAGGATGCAAACAACCCACAGTATAGGGACACCAGCTTTGTAACATCCTGTTAGATCTACAGGTAAGTCAGTACAAGAAGAAAAATCTTCAAGTATAGAAAATATTATAGGAAAACCAGGAGGAGACAAAAATCTGAGTGCAAGAGATGATTAACTCAGCAAATTAGATAAAGTAAAAAACCCAAGTTTCCTTATTAAAGTTGTTTCTTGCAGTGACAAAATCTCTCTCACTGCTCTAATAGTTGGTGACAATTAAAAACACTACTTCTCTTAAGCTCTATCTGAAAGTTTGCTTGTAAAAAGAATATGGTGTAGAGAGGGGTAAGAGTATATTTAAGTGAACTTCTCCTAATTGTTGCTTCCAACCATAATCTACTTCTTCCATGAGACACTGAGAAACAGCTGTACTTTTTCTTTAAAAAAATAATCTTGTTTTATTCATAAACTAAGTTTTCGAAAAATGTTTACTGCCATCACAACATTAATCATGAATATTTCATTCCTCAGTGTATTGTTGTAGAGCATTGCTTATGGCTATTTTTCAAGACAGGCTAAGTGAAAGCAAAGGATTGGTATTAGTCCACTCATTTTAGTATTCTGTGGGTTTATCAGGGCTGTCTTGTGTCTTAGAGTTATGTCTACTTTTACTCATCATTGATTCCCTTCTCCCACCTATTTATTTCAAGGGTCTTAAAAACAGCACTCAAGAGTACTGTAAATAAACACAGACTCTAAAGTACCTCAAACTCTAAAAAAAAAAAAAAAAAGCATTAGAACAATTCCAAGAAGAAACATAATTAAAGATAATCAAATACGGTGCCATGTCCATATATGCAAACCTAGAAGTAAAGGAGAGCTTATTAACTCACTTGCTACAAAAAAGTAACCTAAATGTACCTGCAAGAGCACAGATTTTTGTCTCTCATTACTTCCCTCTCTAAGAAATTATGCCTCAAAACTCACCAGAAAAAAATTTAACCAAAAAAACCAAAGAGATGAAAGAATGAGATCTCACTGATATCTCCCCTCACATAACCAATCTGTTAACGTGGTAAGTGTTGTACTTTTAAACTTGATGGACTTTTAAAATTTATTTTGTAAGACTTAGGTGTTCTGAAATAAATCACTACCTTCTTACCCTAATAAGCAAAATACACACACCAAGAAGGATAATACCTCATAATAAAACATTATGCCTCTAACTCAGGAGTTATTAAAGAAACATTTCCATTATTAAGGAAACTGATAGGGCGAGTGTATATTAACTCCAGTTATTGGGGAAAGAGGCATTAATTGAATATCATCCCCCAGAAATACTTAGGAGCTCTAAAAAGTCTGGTTATAGGAGAGCATAAAATTAGTTCTGTAGTTACTAATGTAATGGTACTATTTCATATACAGTTTACAAAATTGAAACCACAGAACCGCAATTGTCCTACAAGGGCTGAAGAGTTCTTTTAATCAAAAGAAAACAAACACTAGGTGTTTTTCTAATTTAAGTGGCCTATAGAAAAAGCAAATGCAGGCTGCGGATTAGACACCCTCCTTTTTATCTGTGTATATTTTTATGTAGGCAGTGTAAAAATAAAAGGTGCAAACAATTAGCCTTATTAACAAAGAGGCATAGACTGCGTGCTCCTTCCTAGGGGAAAGGCATTCCCTTAAGCCAAGATCACGCATTCACTTAATCCCACCCTCGCGCTTTCCTTCCCGCGGCCTTTTCTTCGGCCGGTGGGGACTTGCGCCCATGCGGAGGGGCTCGCTCCAGCCTTGGGAGGCAGCCTGAGAGCAATCCTCTTCCGGCAAGAAACCATCTGACACCCGTGCAGCCTGCCTGCAGAACAGCAAAGTAGACAGGCTTCATCTGCCCGCTACAGCAGAGCTGCTGAACGCTCCTCTGGTCTCGCTGCTCAGCGTAGTAAGGCACGGCAGCATTCTAGCAATTAACTTGCTGAAGCTGAGTTCCAGACTATGCGAGCGTACCCATATTCCTCGGGGCGGGGCTGGGGGGGGCGAGGAAGGCGGAGGAGAGCAGCTCAGCCTGCCACGGCGGGGCCAGCGAGGCTACTACAGCACACAAAACCAGGAGCAGGAGTTTCCCACCGAGCGCATCTTCCACCCAGCGCCTCCAGCACGCAGCCAGGTCTGCTCCGCTTCCGGCAGGGCGCATCACTTCCCACCCTTGCCCGACAACATCCATCACCCCTCGTCAAATTTTTTTATGGTTAGAGGTTTAAGGACGGGGTGGGGGGAAAGGAAAAAAAAAAAAAATCAAGCTTTTTCTGCTTCACCGCCTCCCGCCGGATACACATAATGCGGCCGATAATGAAGTGAGAATCCCCCGCCGCGAAGCCCCCCGCCCCCAGAGCGCAGATGCTGCCCCGGCCGAGCCTCCCGCCGCCGGCACCGGGCCGCCGACACAAAGGCTCAAAAGCACCACGAATAGAGCCCCGCGGCCGCCGCCGCCGCCGGAGAGCGCCGGGCGAGCCCGCCCCGGCGGCGAGCCCACCCCTCCCGCCTCGGGAGATGTCAGGTTACAGCCGAAAAGCCATTTACCGGGCTCGAAGTCAGGAATGCGCGCCTGGTATTCCGCTCCGACCCTCATTCCTACATCTGCAAGGCAAAGGGGGGAAGAGAAATTCAGGGCTGGAGCGTCCCCGGGCGCCGTCCCAGGCTCCCGCCGTGCGGCGGGCGGGCGGGCTGGCGGAGCCCCCGCCGCGGCCGTGCGGAATAAGCCACCTCCTCCCCCCGCCACCCCCCGCCCACCGCCGCCGCCGCGGATTAAGCCCCGACGACCGCCGAGGAGGGGGCAGGAGGAGGCGGAAGGGGGAGTTTATTCCAGCGGAACAATGGGGACGGCGGCGGCTCCCGGGAGACACTCCCTCCCCATCGTTAAGTACCGCGGGGGCAGCCGCGGGGCCGCGCCGCGCGCTCCCGCCCCCCCCGCCCCGCACACGCGCGGCCGCGGCACGGACGGAGCGGCGGAGCCCCGGCACCGGGAAGGGGGAGGCGGCTCGGCTCGGTTCGCCGCCCCTCCCGCCGCCTTCGCCACCCCCCTGCCGCCGCCGGCGGGGCGGCCCCAGGCTCGCACCGTGCTCGTCGCCACTGTCGCCGCCGCCGCTCTCCGGCTCCGAGTAGTGCCCGTTGGAGGGGCTGCTGCTCTTGGCGCCGTTGGGGGCTGCCCGGCTCTTACCCCCCAAGAGCTCCGCGCCCTTCTCCATCATGCCCGGCATGCCAGGGCTGGGAGCGGGGGAGAGCGGCGGCAGCGTTGCTGCCGAGGGGGGGGAAGTTAATACGGAGCCGCCATGTTGCCCCCTCCCCGCCCCCCCCTCGGGCACCTCCTCCCCCCGCCCGCCGCGCCCCCCTCCCCCGGCGCCGGGAATCCCTCCGCGCCGGCCCGGCCGGATCTCGCCGCGGGGCGGGGATGCCGCCGGAGCGCCGGCGGCGCGGCCGAAGGGAGGAAGAAAGGGAGGATTGCTGCCGCTCCCGGGCCGCGGCCATGCCGCCGCGCCGCGGAGCTCACCGGCCAGCGGGCCCAGAGCAGAGCGAGGACTATTTCCCGGCGACGGCGGCGGCGCAGGGATCCCGGCGGGCGGGTGTCGCGGCCCCTGTGGGGCCGGAGCCGGGGCGGGAGGAGCCGCGGCCGCGCAGGGCCCGGCCCGGGGCCGCGGAGCGGGACCGAGACCGGGCCCCGGCGGGGAAAGCCGGTGCTTAAATTTTTGAATTTAGAAAGAAAACCCGTACTGGTTTTCTTTCTAAATTGAAAAAGTGATATATTTATTTACCTGTTAAGTGAATTCCGGTGCGTTACCAGGTGCTGCGGTGTTGCCATCCAGTTTGTCTCAAATATTCACGTTTTATGAGGTAAAAAAGGGCTGAGATGGGCTCCAGACCGAGTCTGAGTTGCAGTGTGACAGCAGTCTTGCTGCTTAATCTGGAGAGGCATTATTAGTCTGGTTTGTTCTATGGAAATACATTTAATGTTCTTGCAGCTATGTTTTAATGTGTTAGAGGTATTTTTAATGATGCAGTGTTGGTTTGTCAGTCTGATTTTCGGATGTAGGGAAAAAAGTATGAACTTAAATTGCTGTATATCAAGCTGAAGTCTCATGTTCCAGCTAAGAGTGTCTGACACGATCCATTACCCTTTGTCACATCTCAGCAATTCTTCCCGAACTCTGCCCTGGTGGCTGTCTACCCCCAGCTGGTTGGCTGATTGATTGATTAATTGATTGAAGAGTGCTAGCAGGAATAGTGCAGCTTCTTTATTACGCTGAGATAAAGGGAAGATGACTACTTGTGTCCATACTTAAAGCTACTAAGTGCCTTATAGTTGGATTGTATCATGATACTGTTAGCGATGTTTGCTGTTTCTTCATACTTGCCTTGAAAGCAGCCCATTATGGTCAAGTTATCTACTTTTGAAAAGCCTTTGGTATATGTGTGCTTCCTAGAATATGTCAGGAAAATACTGTCAAGATGTTTCCTGCTTTGGGAATTTTGTGTCTTTGAAGAACTGGTTTTGTGACGGCTTTTGGCCAACGGCTATCAAAAATGCAAGTAAACAAGCTGCAACTCCTTTATGCTTGCTGTTTTTCAAGAGCTGGAGAGAAAGATTAGTAAGGACAAGGTAGGAGCAGCGGTGGTTGACTGCCTGCAAGTGCCTCAACAATTGAGGATTCGCAGTCTCACAGTTTAATGTACATGAAAGAACTCACAATAAGAAAATGAAATGCCACAACCACAGGAAAATCTTGAACCAATGTTTGTACTTTTAAGGCACAAAACTTAGGAAATTTACAAGAAGCAGGAAATCATTATGAAAACTTGCAGGAAATTTGGATTTGTTGTTTTAGTTCTAAGGCCATCTATTTGAGAATTTTATCTTCATTTTCCACAGATGTGAAATTTGGGCACACATGTGGCACTATGACTGTATTTGTCTAACAGTTCTAAACTACTGATAAAAACTGCCAGAAGTTTTAGTAAGCTGTTACACCTTTCAGGAATTTTAAGTTCGTACAAGTGTCATGAAAGTAACCACCAGAAAGGAAGAAAGATTCCTTGTAGCATAGTTTGGAGGAGAATTGTGAGAGGAGCTTGACCTTTTCTGTTTCTGTTATTTGCGTGGCTGCTGATGAAACTGCTTTTCAGATATTACAATAAAGGGGCATAGGTTCACTTAGTTAAGCACTAAGATATTAGCAGATGCATGTAATGATTTTTTCCCCCCATGCAATCTGGAAGTTGGCTTGCTTTGGGCTGTTTCTTCTCTTGGATTCTTGTCTTAACCTTCTCTTGTCTTCTATTTTAATTTTTTTTATTTGGTTGTTTTTTTATCCCTCTCTCCACAGATCCTCTGTCACGTTCAGTATATGGGTGCTTCTGGATTAGATGTGACTTGATAATCAAGTAGTTGTTTGTGACATTGGTCCTGCATTTGTTATAGAAACGATGCCTAAGGAGTTATTTTAGACTAACATTAGCTAACTAACTAACTAACATGTAGAATCACAGCATGGATTGGGTTGGAAGGGACCTTAAAGATCATCTAGTTCCAAACCCTTGCCAAGGGCAGGGATGCCACTTCATTAGATCAGGTTTCTCAGAGCCCCATCCAGCCTGGCCTTGGACACTTCCAGGGATGGGGCATCCACAACTTCTCCTTGCTTTATGTTGTCTCCTTTCCTCTGTATGTCCTTCCTTGTCCGTATCCTTGTTTGTAGTTTTTGTTTCCGGACATAATCCCTAGAGGACAGCAAAGTAACCAGTGCGTTCAGAAGGTGCAGATTGGGCCAGGCTAAAGATTCTCATTATGAGCCTGTCAGTTTGACATTCCTGCAGATTATGCCTTTCTTCTTAAAGTTTGTTTCCCAAATCATAGTTTCAGGGGGAAGGTTTGTGTTTGAGCAGGACGGCAGGGATCCTTGGGGTACAAAGTGGATTGCAACAGAGAGGAAGGGAATTAGGGAATGGACAAGTTGCAGACAAGGAAGGTGAAGCAGTTGCTTCTTCCCTTTTAGTGAAGGGGAAAAAAGTAGAAACACAAGCTCAAAAGGAAACAACTTTCCCTATCCGTTAATTAACTCAGCTTAAAACCTACACAGCTTCTGAGGATGCTCCACACAGGGTTGAGACCTCTTGCAAGTTTTGTTGGTGTGGGTTCTTGGAATTCATTTCAAACCAGACTCTGGAGTGTGGACTTCTGCATATTATTACCTTACAGTGAGGGTTAATGACAGCATTAACTGTTGAGTGGTGAGCTAGGGGAAAGTAAAGACTGTTTATTCAGAAGAAACTAAATTCTTAAAATGATGTTTTAACATGCCTATATTACTATGGAATAATATAGAATGGAAATTACCTCTAAAATTGAATCCAACCATTAACGCAGCACTGCCAAGTCTACCACTAAACCACATCCCTAAGTCTCAAATCCATGCTTCTTTTAAATACTGCCTGGGATGGTGACTCCACTACTTCCTTGAGCAGCCTGTTGCAATGCTTGACAAGTCTCTCTGTGAAGAAAGTTTTCCAAATATCTAATCTAAACCTCTCCTGGTGCAACTTGAGGCTGTTTCTTCTCATCCTGTTATTACCTGTGAGAAGAGACCATTCCCCACCTTGCTACAGCCTCCTTTCAGGCAGTGTAGACAGCCATGAATATTCCCCTCAGCCTCCTTTCCAGGCTAAACAGCCCCAGCCCACTCAGCTGCTCCTCATAAAATTTGTGCACCAGACCTTTCACCAGCTTTATTGCTCTTTGGATGCTCTTCAGCACCTGTTATATGTTATGCCCATCTCAACTATAAATTCCTAACTCATTAAATTCTAGGTCAGGGAAAGTATTGCAGATCACATATTTGTCCTTTTTATCTTATGGTGACAGTTTCATGCTTTCAGTTTTTTTGGAAAGAGCATTTTGACAGTTTCCTGTCTTGGGAATGTTGCCTTACACCATTTAAAAGCTGTGTCTTTAAATATTTTTAGAAACAGGTCAACAGATTTGTGATGCTTCTTCAGAAAAATTATAGATGGATGATGTGTATTGTGTGAAACCCAAAGAAGATAGGACGACCATGGAAACCTTTTGGCAATATCCAGCCTGGAAACTTGTGCTTTAATGTGAAGGTTTATAATTGTTCCACAAAGAAAAGTAAGCTCTTTGTCGTCATAAACACATTAAGAAAAGCATGCCTGGGATCAAGGTAATTTCAGATAAATTACACTGCTTGGAGTCTGTTCACGCCTCTGCTGGAAAATATATAGGTGTCATCCATCAACTCCTGTGTTTCTTTTATATTAAACACAACTAGGCCTGCTGGGTGGTAAGTGGGAGGCTTGGAGTGGATAGGGTGAGATTTATTAGTTCTTTTACACTGATGGTTGTTGCTGTGTTTCATTCAACATTCTTGAAATTTTCAAGGACTTCACATTTTAGTGCAACCAGTGGAAGATGGTGGCTTCTCTACAGCTCTAGAAAATCAGGCCTTCAGTCTCAAGCTAGCATTCATTAGGATTTTTGAATACTAGTCTTAATGTTTTAAGACAGAAATTAGAAAAATTTGTTCTATAACTGGCCATTAAAATGAAACAGCAAAGCATTTCCTGCCTTTCTACTGTTAATATCCCCAACTGAGATTTTTTTTCTTTGTTTTCTCTCTTTTTGTAGTGCTGTTTTCCAGTTAAAGGTTTCAAGAGTTATCTCCTTTCCAGATCTGAATGGGATTCTTCTGCATCAGAACAGTTGGTAACTTATTCTTGTGAGATGAAGAAAGTCATGTTGCAGTTCCTTTGAGAAGTTTAAGGACTTCATCTATTTAAATGCATGTCACCAGGTATCCTATCATATTGCCAAAATTTGAGACTTGGACTGTGTTGTGCAGTATTAGTGGTAGATACATTGAATGGAGTGGGCAGTGTTAGGACTCTCTGGCACTGTGTTAAAAATAGTATTTTGAGATAAATTATTTGTTGCACTGTAGGAATGAGCATAATGGGTTAGTGCTAACATCCATCTTGCCCAGTACTTTGATCCTGACAGCTGTACAGAGGAACTAATTTTGGAGCGGGTGCCATAGTCTCCATTCTGTGTTGGCAAGAAGCCTATTCTTGGTCTTCTAAAGATTTTTACTCTGAACTGTAAAGCTTGGTAAAAAAAATTCTTATTCCTATGGTTGTGTTATGAAAACTTCTGTTCCACCTTTACATATTTGTAGACTTGTTTCAGCGACTTCCTATGTGTGAATTTTACTGACACTGTATGATTATATTTTTTTACTTAAAAAGAAATTATTTTGTCTTTTTCTTGACAGGAGGGACAGCTGTTCCTGCTCAGCCCTTTCAGTATCATTGTTTTATTTCTCTTCAGTTAATCTAAATATCTGGTGAGCTGTACTGTTTGCAAAGAGTAAAGAGGTTCTGTGTCTGGTTGATTATGATGACACACACTGTGGGAAAAGCTGAGTGTAGCTAACTTCATCTTGTGTTGCATAGGCAGCTGAGGACAAGAGGCCATTTCAGAAAGTCAGTCTACAGATATTATTTAAGCACTTATTTTTTGCATACCCTTTGTAAAGGAAATTTTGGTAATAGCTGGCTGTTTGTCTTTGAATCAGAGCGCTGACATTCAGTCTTGTCAGTGAAAATTCTCAGACTGTGTATGAAGATCTTATGTATGTGGCTGAAATGGTAGCACCTCTGTACAAATGATTTGGGTTTAGGGCCAGTTGTTTCCCACAAGGGAAAAAAGATATTGTAATTGTTTTGGTAAACCAGTGTGCTTTTACTTTGTCCTCTTTCACTTCTGCAGACAGTTACCTGAACTACTTTTCATAGGACTGTTCAGCAGAAAGCAGAAGTCACCTAATTGATACTTAAAGCTGTTGGACCTCTGTAAGAAATGTAGTTTGGTTCTCCTGTGCAGTGTTTACATTTTTGTGTGTTTGTTGTGGTTTGGGAGGGGTTTGTTTTTCTAAATGCAAAGCAAGTGCTTTGCTTCCATGCAGTTGGAGAAACTGTGCTAAACTTATACTTTACTCTTTCTTGTCAGGTTTTCTGTCGCTGTGCTAACTTGGAGAGATGACCATTTGCTGTGAGTTGATGATGTTTATGCTCTCTCTTATGGATCTCTCCTCCTTTTCCTTCTATGAAGCAGGAAGGAACACACTGTGCAAGATTTTCTCCTTGCAGTTAATAGTACCAAGCACTAATTTTGTTGAGAAAAATGATATTTAAAACATTCTAGAATAAAAAAGGAGAATGCTCTGCTATGTTACCATTGTTGTGTGTCTAATCCTGAAAAAGAGAGAACTTTGCCCCAAACACCTTACAGTTTGTTTGGGATCCAGCCAGTCTATGTAATTGGAAATTGAATTTCCAATTAGGAAAGGAAAATAAAGGGAGAATAAAGGAAACATCAGTAATATGTTGGACAAATTATGTAAAATTACTGTAACCCTCTACTGCCTATCCATTTAAGATGCAGTGTTATTGCAGGAGTAATCTTGAGGGATCTGAAAGAACCAAATGATAAGAACTTCACTTGAGGAAGATGATATATTTTTACACCTGGAAAAAAGGCGTAAGGAGTGGTGTAGTAACCAGTAGTGGCAGCTTTTTTTGCTGTATGTCTTAGGCCTTGTACTGTCAGAACAATTTATTCAATAGCATACTGGTACATTCTGCTACATTTTGTCCTCCATAGCTTATCCTACCTGGCTTCATGTGGTTTAAGGGTGGGGGAAGAAGACAAGTAAAAAGTCTTAAGACCAAAAGAAGGTCCCTGATGTATTGCAAGAGTTTGTATTTCTGCTTTCTATCTTGTTGTTTCTGTAGAAAAGTATACACTGTTTCTTAGACATCCCTGTGTTACGGAGCTGTGCTGGATTTTGAAGGTCAGTGTGGCTGGACTGTGTAGATATCAAAACATTACTGCTATTTAAGAGTCATGTCTTTTTCCGCTGTAACTACTGTTTGGCTCACGTAATGATCCACAGTTCAGATATACAATTTAGGAAAGATCAGCAAGAGGTTCCATTTTGAGAATTTCTCTAAGACAGAGTTGCAAGCAACAAAAATATAATAATTAATTATTTTTTTCTCATATAAGTAATATTATTTTTCTACATGGAAATTGTTATACTGTTTCACTGCAATTTCCTAGGATACAAATGGTTCTCTTAGAAGTATCCTGATAAAAAAAAAACAGCAGCTCAACAACAAACAAATCAATATGGCTGTATCTGCCTATTCAAATTGTATTGTACAGTGTTTCCAGGAATGATGTTCTCTCTTCTCCTGTCTGAGGCAGATAATGGCTACATAAATATAAAACTGAAATCCACAATTTTGCATGTGAGGGTGTGGATCAGTACATAAAGGGTCAATCTACAGTAGCAAGATTGTCCTTGGAAAGAATGAACTGTTCTCAAAATTTCTGCTGAAGTATTTGTTAAACTGAGAGGAAAAACAAAAGGTCATGCCTACACAACTTCAGGGTGAGAAGGTTGGATACCACTAGGACGTTGCTATTGTTGGTTTCCACACAGTTTTTAGAAAAACACCCACTCAACTTCACTCTCAGCAAGTGCTTTAAATTCTCTTATTGCTGAAGATGATGTTTTTACTTCTTCTTACATAGTTCACTATCTTCTATCTAAATTACATCCCTTTTAGTGAAGGTGGCTTTTGTCCTCAGTTAAATTAAACTAATTAAAGCCTGAAAAATATTTTAGTCTGGGAGCCTGTTATGAGGTCCATTTGTGTTAGATACATATTGTTCTAAAAACCCAAAGAAATTACCCAGGTTTCGGAGTTACACTCTGAGCCCACTGCCAGAGATCCCTGATCCTTATGGATGCTGGAGAACTGGGCAAGGGCATTTTTGATATGTGATGTTCTGCTGGTTTGTTGTGTAAACCTACACTTCTAACAAGTGGCTCCCACCCCATCCACTGTTCCCTAAATTCACCTTCCCATGTGCTACATGCTGTATTTCAGTTTGGTAGCTGCAGATAGATCTGGATAGTCTAAAAGGATGTCCTGATACTTCTCTGTACTGTGTGACTTTACATAGAGGTTTTGTGTTAATTAACGGTAGCAGTCTTTGCTTCACAATAATAGATGGAAGCAAATAAAAAAAAAAAAGAATCCTCTTCTACTTGTAAAAAAATTAACCAAAATTAGAAAAGACAAACCTCCCCTCCACCAAGTATGCAAGTGTTTATGAAAATCAGTAGTTCATATGTTACTAGGTATGAATATGAGTCCAGTACTGATAAAGACCATAGAAAAAACTGCTTTTAAAAGATGATAAAATTTAGAAAAGTAGTAATTTTTTTCTCAGTGCAATTGCTGAAGATAACACTAAGACACTAGTTAGAGTGAGAAATTTTGTTACCACTTTATTTAAATTTTAAATTTAAAAAAGGCAGTACTATGCTAGTTACAAAACCCTTCCTTCCCTCCCTGCCAGATTTGTGCTCCTCAGTTGTTTGGCTAGTTTTGCCTTTCCCCTCCACTGTCAAAGAATGCAACAAAGTTTTGTCTACACAGAAAGCAGTAATGCATGTAAGTAATGCAGCCTGTTGACATTAGTAAATGGGAAATAGGTGATGAATGCTAAACTCAGGAAAAATATGAAATAAAGTTACAAAAATTTAGTCTGCTTTTTTCCCTTCCATGTTCTAGGTTTTTGTTTTGTTTTTTTTTTTTTTTTTTTTTTGGAGGTGAGGTTGATTTCTGGCTGTTGATAAACCTTCCATAACTGAAAATGTACAAGGAACTGGTATGCTAAAGTCTTAAGGTAAGAAACTTTAGAGTATGTGACTTCAAAACTGGAATTCTGAGTATATGTAAGGCAAAACCTATAAAATACAAGCTCTGTGCAAGAAATTTATTCACTGTGCTGAGGATAGTTTTATGCTGGGTACTCTTTAAGGTGTGTTTCTTGGAGAGGCTGCTTGGAAAGAAGCCTTAGCAGTGCCTTTACCACTGTCAGCCTCACAGGTAGGATGCTTTTGTCCAGAAAACAAACAAGGAGGCTTTTAAGACTGTTAGGCTTTTTAAATTTACTAAAGAGTTTAGGTTATGTTATAATCTGGGAAGTCTGACTCAGTGTTATTTGGAAATTTTTTGTATCATTACGTTCTTGGAAAAAAACTATATAGTGGAATACAAAGGCAAAAAAAAAAAAAAGAGGACCTGCTAGCTAACACAAGCATATTCCTTACTATGGGTTATTTTTTCTGAATCTTGGCCTAAACCATCTTATTTTCAGTTTTATTTTTTTGAACAGTATATAATGAAAACATAGGATTAAAAGTGGATTTAAAATATTTTTTATATTAGAGACTACTAGACAACAGTTAAGAGATAAAGATGCAATTAGTATCAATACAGTAATTCAGCCTGCAGAACTCCTTGCTACTTTACCAAAAGCAATCACCCAGAACTATGGGTTTCTAGATTTACTGTGGACAGGGCATACAAATAAAATTATTTGTTACAATTACTTAGCAGGGCCCTGCATTCTGCTAGAATTCAAGCAAGCTGCATCCGAACTGCTTAATCTTGCCTTGTTTTATACTGGTCGAGAGACACAGGAAAAATGAGGCCAGTGAAATGCACAATAGATGTGTTAATAAAAGAAACCCCACCAAACCTGGAATCAAAGAAACTATGGGTATTTTCTTTCCCTTCTCTGAGTAACAACACCAGCAGGTCACTGCCTCTGCTCTGAGACAGGGAGAGACTGTGGCCGTGTCAGGACAGGGTTGAGCCAAGAGGATTGAGTGGACACAAGTGCAACGAGGGGAAGGGTGATAGTAACTGTTGTCCCAAAAAAGATATGTGGTGACTTTATGTTAAAATAAAACTAGGATTTTTTTTTCCCCTCCCTAACTCTGGAAATCCAGGATGCTTCCTCCTGTTGAAATAAATGGAGATGGACATGCTGTCCAAATGGGGAAAATTTTTCTATGTCCTTTTGAGGTGTTCTTTAAGAAGGTACAGTTCCTCCCTGTTAGCCCACACTCCAAATGTTAGATGTATAAATAAAAACTGTACTCCCTCATCAGTTTTATTTTGAGATTTTTTTTCTTCCTTTCAGAACATTGGATTTTTTTTAGTTATTTTTCCATAATTGTGAGCCATAAAAAGTGTGGAGGAAATTTAGTAATTCCAAAACTAGAAAAGTATCAATATTTATTGTTTGACAAATTTGTTATGGCTGCTTGGAAATACTAACATACTTCAGTTCCTAGATCTACAGTCTGCTGTGCAACTGGATATTTCTTTGAGTTTATTTCAGACCCTAGAAATGATTGGACCTTTAGGAACCTCAGGCTGAACTTGATGAGTGTCTCAAGATAGTGCAGAAATAAATTGAACAATTTCAGTAAGATGCACAGATATCTTCTCAAATTCTTTCCTTTTGATGGACACATGTGCTTGTTAAACTCCTGACTTGCCTTAGTTTTAAGGATTTTGTTTCTCATTGCTCTTCCCACAAGATAACAAACAAGGGTAATCACAAGCAAGTAAGTATTCATTACTACTTGACAGAAAGCCTTTGCCTGCATTGCTTTGCAGGTAAGAAGTTGTACAATAATGACTACTTTGTTGATTTGAATGTAAAAATAAAAAAAGTTATAATTGTTTCTCCATCTTAGTTGGAATTCGGATTTTTTTTTAATTTCGTATCTGTATGGCAGTGTAACTTGTGTATTACCTTCTGTAATTTGTTATTCAATCAATTAATGTATTTTATTTTGACAGTTTATGAAAACCATGTGGTAGTTTACAAATTGAACTCAATTTAAAGATCGAATGCTTTTTTTGTTTTTAGGGTTAGGTAGTTTGTTTAGGTAGTTTTTGTTTTTAGGGGTGGTAGTTTGCTATAAATGTGTTATGATTCTTGGTTTTGACACTTCATTTTTTACAAAGAGCAAAAGAAGCATGCAAAACAGAGAAGAAATCAAAAAGACCTGAAATAAACAAGTTCTTTTCAATATAAACCAGCTAAATTCTTAGCCTGTGAGATGTCCCAGCTACCATGTTTCTTCACCCATTTGATGCTGTGACAATGAAATGACAAGTCCCAAAGTACTGGCAGAATCTAAGACCAGAAGCCTTGTGCAGCTTTGGAAGAGCTGGGTTTGTCCAGACTGCAAGGCAGCAAGAGCTGACAGATGAGCATTACAGCAACTTTTCATGCATTTGAAAACTTGCAAAAGGGTTGGTGAGTTTTGTGGCTGCAGAAGGGAGAGTTTTTACTGGCTTCGAAGCCCAGATGATTTGGTGGCATTTTAGGAAGAGCTTTCTCACAAGATTTGTTAGACGTTGAAAAAGATTGCCAAGAGACTCTTAATGGCTGACAAAGGGGAAAGTTTTTAAGGTTACCTTAGTATCTCTCAAGGGTGAGCCACGTGACAAAGTGGAAGAAGTGAGTCCTGTCCAGTTCCAGTGTTTTTATTTCATAGATGCTATGGGGTTAAATGACTTTCACGTAAATTAATTCTTGGAACTGATGTTTCCAAGGTGTTTGTGTGTATGAGCACTGGAAGTTGACAGTCATGTTAGTAAATGGGTTGATGTAAACACAGGCTGCTGCCAAAGAGGGACGTATCTTAGCTGCCCTTTTCAGGCTGGATTGCAATTCAGTGGGGTGGCAAACCTGCACTGCTTAGATGAAGGCAAATCTGTCCTTTTTGCAGCAGCTGCACAGTGTGAACATGGAACAGAAAGGCTCTGCAGCCAAGGGATGCCTTACTGGGGCAATGGATACTACATGTCCTGACCTAAGGCCTTGTTCAGGAAAGAACAGACTGAAAGAGCACATAATGCAAGACAGCCGAATGTCTTCTATAGCAAGCTAACACTTTTTATATTAGCCTTAAATTGAAGTGTTAGGTATTTCCTTCTGTCCAGTAGGCTTTAGCAAACATGCAAATTAAGCAACTCCTGTTTTCAAATTTCAAAAACAATGATAGCTGGAGAGAGGTAACACACTGGTAATGAAGTCGGACAGAGTACGTGTCCTGCTTCAAGTGGGGCTTTACCTCCAGCTCTATATCATTTGCAAAATTTACCAAAAAGTGGTGGTGAGAAAATGAGTATAGAATTTGAAATAATCACAGTAAAACATCACAGTATCCTTCTGGTCTTGTGGTGAAAAATTCATACTGCTAGCAAGAATAATTAATTTTGCATATTCTGGGGGGAGAAAATCCAAAGGAGGTAGAAGATACAGGATAAATCTTCCATTTGTTACTGGATCTAGCAGAGAGGGAGCTCATTTTCCCCACAGCAGCCCCCAGGGCTGTGCTGTGCACTGGCAGCTGTAAAGGTGCCCATAAGACACCAGTGTTTTGGCTGCTGCTGAGCAGCACTGGCACAGTGTCAGTGCTGTCACTCCATCATCTTCCCCTCACCGGGAGGCTGGGGGTGGGCAAAATCTTGGGATGGGGCATAACCAGGACAGCTGACCCACTGACCAAAGGGATATTCCATACCATGTGCTGCTTGCTGAGATACAGAAGCTAAGGAAAAGGAGGAGGAAGGGGGGATATTTCTTATTTACAGTGTTTATCTTCCGGAGCATCCACACTGTGCTGAAGCCCTGCCTCCTGGGAAGTGGCAAGACATCACTCACTGATGAGAAGTAGATAATAACATCTTTGGTTTTTTGCTTGTGTGCACGTTTTGTTTTGTTTTTTTTTTCTTTTGCCTTAGTAACCTGCCTTTTCTTGACCTACAAGGGTTGTTTGCCATCTTATTTTGCCGGGGAGGTGAGTGATAGAGTGGCTTGGTGGGCACATGGCATCCAGCCAAGGTCAGCCCGCCACAATTTGCTATAGCATTTTAGTCATTTGCAGTGTTACAGGGTAAATGTAAAACCAATGTAGATAAAATAGCACCTTTGACATGAAACTTTGGATTAAGCATGACCCTGAAAAATTAGGTAATCAGAGACTGGACCATGCAATGCAACATAAACTGCAGCCAGCCACACTTCATGGAGCTCCAGAAAAAAGTCTTCAGTTTCTTACTCTCATGTCACCTCGTTCCCACTTCTGTGGACTTGCTGATTCAGTTTGAAACCTTTTTCCTTTAAAGGTCAGCTTCCAGGTGTCTCCTAAGTCATAGATATTCCTGCAGAGCCCAGCAGAAGCTGAGATATAGTGTGCACTTATTCCTCTGGCACAGTGGCTTTGAGGAACAATGAAACACTACTCTGCATCCCAGTTTTCCAAATCTCACTCTTGGTTGTTAGCGGTTGCGTAAATTCAATGTCAAAGGCTACATTTACAATTTTGTCAGAATGCTTAGAATTGCTTCAGGTTTGGTCTGTGCTGCTGGAGCTAGCAGGAGCTAAATAAGCTGGGGTCTTTGTATGGATTTGTTGGTTTACATAGCTTTTATAGAGATGGGGTAACTGAGAGATGTTTTAAAAGATTTTATTCTGTTATCAGTATCAATGAAAGGTGAGACAGAAGAGACATAAAACTCAATGCTATTCCATAAGAAGCTAACCTATTTTCTGGTTACAATACTTTATAAATGTTTTTCAGCCCATTAGCTTTTACCACACAATGCTGCTATTACTTCTAACACTAATCACCTATGTTTTTACCCTGTGTGGTCTTATTACAATATATCTTTCACAGTTCTAATTATCTAAGCTATCTAGTCTTTTCACAAAAATGTATTTTAAAACTTACTAAAACTGCTAGTTCAATCTCTCTCAACAATGTTATCTCTATTTCATGGCCTTCTTAAATCGACACACCTTATTTCAGTGTTTATATACAAATATATAAAACTACATGAACTTATTGTCAATTTTTAAAAATACTTTATAAATCCATTTCTCACATGGATGGTTGTTAGGGATACTTAGATGTGTAAAGATGCAAATAAATTCTTTTAGGGGCTCTTTAAGACCCTAACATTTCAGGGACAGTCAGTGGCCTTTTTGCAGCTTCAGGCACTTGATTTTTTTTTCTCCTAACCTGCCTCTGTTTGCAGCATATGCAGGTGTCCAGCATACAGATAATCACTTTAAAAGAGGCTTCTGTGGCACAGCTAATTCCTGCCTGGCAGCTGGGCTGACCCCCAAGGGCTCTAGGAGTTCTCCAGGTGCCCAGCTGTGTGAGGGACTGCTGGCACCAGGATGCTCAGGGACTCGATCTGTAGCTGCTGCTGCAATGAAATTGTCGCCCGCCTTCACCCCTCGAGTCTAGCACTCTGCATGTAAAAATGCAGGAGCTGGTGGCAGGGAGGTCAGACTTCTCAGGCACTGTTTGGTCACAGGCACTGTTTGGTCACACCGTGTGGCTGAATGGGATCGTGTGCATGGAGCTGACTGTGGCTCCTGGCGGTGCTGTGCTCCTGGCCCAAGCCTTACCCAGGACAGAGCAAGCTGGGCAGTGCCAGAATTCTGTGAGAGCAGTGGTAGTGGTTAAAAATCCCGGCTGACACAGGCCATCGTGTTTGCCGTACTTTATTTGCTCATGCTGTGAGAAATAGCTTTTCCTCAAGCACATGAACATGCAGAAACATACTCTCCATGCCTCCAATATGCCTTGAGCTGCGGAGCCTGAAGGTGTTACACTTAATGAGGCATTACAGCAAGTAAATGCCAGTGCCAGCAAGAAAAAATATGCCTTTTAAATTTAAAAGAGCTGAGGATTTTCCATTTATAGATGATAGATTGGTATGGGGGAACAACAAAGTCGATTAATCTCTGAATGAAAACTTGATGTCAGTTAAATATCTCAGAGAGTTCAAGACCTGTCAAAGGTTATACTTAAACAGTTTGTCTCGCTGCTTCCACGGACCTGTTAATCAGTTTGACCACTTAATACTAAGTACCCTTCTAACAGAAATCATCGTAGGCAAGCGTGAAGCACGACCCAGGATGAGGGCGGCGAGCAAACACTCCGGAGCTTGGCGGGGATATGGAGGTGCCTCCGCTGCCAAGAGAGCGCCTGCCGGGAGTTTGTGAGCGGCCTTTAACCACTTCGCATTTTTCATCCCCCGGGGCGCACCGGCGAGGGGTCGAGCAGGGCGGGAGCCGCCCGTGAGCGGGGCAAGAGGCCGGCGGAAGGCGCCGTTCTCCCGCGGACGGGCCGAGCGCTCCCGCAGCTCCCGCGGCGCCGGGCCCAGACGATGGCGCTGCAGCCCCGGCGTTGCGGCGCGGCGGCGGCCGGCGGGGGTCGCTGCGGGGCGGGCCGGCGGCGGCGGCGCGGGGCTGCGGTGCGCGGGAGGCGGCGGCGGCGGTGCCGCACAGCCGCTGGTGCCGGTCCCGGCGGGGGCATGAGGCGCGCGGGGCGGGCGGGCGGCGGCGCGGCAGAGCGCGGCTCGGTGCGGCCCTGAGCGGAGCCTCCGCGCCGCGCTGCGCTCCCGCTGAGCGACTATGGCCGGGGGAAGGCGAGGGCTGGTGGCGCCTCAGAACACGTTCCTGGAGAACATCGTGCGAAGGTCTAACGGTAAGAGGCACCGGGGGCGAGCTCTCGCCGGCCGCACGGAGCCCGCCGCGTCCTCGACGGGGACAGCGCCGGGCGGGGGCACCGAGCCCCGGCCGCTGCCGGGCGGCTCCGCCGAAGCGGCGCATCCAGGTGCCGGAGCCGGTGCCGGCTGCGCCGCCCGGGTCCTGCCGAGAGCCCC